AAGTACGGTGTCACAGTGGTAATATAAGTCAATAACAGTAAAAAAAATATTTATTTTGCAGGGTAATGATGTATTTATTATTTCCAGTGTACAAATTGCATTAGTCGTAAAATCAAAAAATATTTGAATGAGTCTAATTAATTTTTTTTATTTTTTAAACACTTGATTTTTGAATATGTTGATGAAAATATTTTAGTCAAGGTTTAAGAAATCCTTCTAGTTTATGTTTATTCATTCTGTTATGACTTTTGTGTTATTAGTTTCGAGGTATTTCAAAAGTATTTTAAATGTTCACAAGCGAGTAGGTAATCGAATTTCATGTAAAAGTTTTTTATATGAACAAATTTCTGGTCTGAACTCGTCGCTGAACGGTTTGTATTCTGATTCTTAGCCGCCAGAGGCGACGACGTCCGTAAATGCAATCGCTGAACTACTGGCTACTGTGGTCTGCGACGCCGCCGCCGACGATGTTTGACGACGACGCACGACAACGGTTTTCCGCGGCAACGGTCGGCGACGATTACGGCGATTAGAAATAATTATTTTATTTTATTATAGGCCGAATACCTTAGCGCTCTCTATTGGGAGTAATTACGGCGCAGCGTATTATGTACTGCAGTGAGCTATCTATAGTATTTATAATCAATGGTATGATATTATAGGTACTTGTGTATTATGATCAGCCAAACTAGCCAAACGTGTGTAATTGCCAAACTACGTATTCCTTATGTGAATAAATTGTCATGTACTATCTACAGATGAGATGTGTCAACCAAATTTATTTTATAAATAAAATGACAAGTAAAGTGGAAATATTGTTTTATTTATATACTGCAAAGGAAGACTTTTTGTCCGGGGACTTTTTTTCCGTTTACCATCTTCATCAAACGTATTACAGTTAAAATTACGAAAATAATATTTACATCGACACACCGACGATATTTATGATATCATGACGTTACAATATAATATATTTTCATTAACTTCTAAACATTTTTATTTTTAGATAAGTATAATTTACAAGTATTTGCCGGTCTCGAACTCTCCTCTGACGAGCCGCCCCGGGTATTATCGGGCACAAAACGGCACTACGTCAACCATCACAATTGCAGTGTTTATTTACATATATACGAATTATTGTACAAAAATACATTGTGAAACATTAACAATGATGTTGGACCCGAGCGGTCGATTTTCTACGAAACTAGTAACCAACAAACAATAGGAACATTTGGTGGGTTGGCGTGCGGTGCAGTCTGTTCAATGTTGCGCAATGCGCCGGGTCCGCATTCAATAATATAATATTATCATGAATATAAATAGTATACATTATAGTATAATATATCATAATATATTTATATATAATAATAATATAATGTATAGTAAATAGTATATATATAGTATTATTAATTATAGTATCTATAAATAATCATAATGATATTGTACACAAACGGTGACCCGTGAGCCGTTTGATTGTTATAGTAACAACCAGACTTAATACTTATTATTATCGACGGAAATCAAAACGACATACCTACCAGCACATGATTATGTTTCATAGAGTTGCAATACATTGGCACAATTTTGTGTTATAACTTATAAGCGTTTAAAGTTCAATTGTTGTCAAAATGTATCAAATTTATAATTTAAATTTATTTTTCGCTCAGAATTGTTTTTCTTGTACAATGATATTATATCATTGTATTCAAATTTAACACAATCCATTACATATACCCAGGGCCGGACTGGCCCAGTGGTCTATTGTCCTAGAGGACAATGGGCCTCTGTCTTTGGCTGGGTTTTGGACCGGTGCCTATTGTTAGTACAATTATATCGGTAGGTACATAAGTAAATATTAAAAGTATATTGTTTCGAAGGCAGATGAAAAATATTAAAAAACCTTAGACACAATTTTTTTTTATAAGCATTTAAAGATCGAATTTGACAAAATTTATCAAATTTAAAATTGAATAATTATTTTGTAGTTAAAAATGTATAAAATGTTCAACTTTTATATCAAATGATTGAAAATTTAAAACAAGATTTCACGTAAGTAGTTAATTCTGTTAACAAAAAATCTAAAAAATACAGAAGGACACTTTATTTTGATAGTCATTTTAAGTTCAAATCTGGACGAAATTACATAATAAAAAACCTAGAATAACTATTTTAGTTATTTTTTTGTTAAAAATTATAAAATGTTCAACTTTTATAGCTAAGGATTGAAAAAAGGTAAATAGGTAAATATATAAATTATTTTATTCACAATAATTATATCATCAAAATATATACTTAGTAATCATAGGCTGACTGACCGTTTTCACCAAAAGTGTACCTTTCCCTTTTCCACCAATACCCGTTTCTACCAAAGGTGTATCTTTCCCTTTTCCACCAATATACGTTTCTACCAAATAAAATTAAAAAATTAAAAACAATATAATATTTATTATGGTATAATTGTAAATGGTCAGATATAAAAATTTGAAAAAAAAAATATAATAATTATTAACATGTTCGTGGTTATGTATAATTGATTGATCCGATAATACTTCATAATTATTATCAGTAGGTATACACTTTTTAAAAACAACTTTTTTTAATACAACGCCAACGAATATTTTCATTAGTTTTGTTTACTGATCCAATAAAAAATTTATAATTGTCTAGTATTAGGGCCGCTTTCACCAATACTTTAAACTCCGATTAAAGTTAATCCGGGGTTTAATCGGCCGAATTTGCCCGGTTAAATATCTGTTATCAGTCGATTAAGCGTAATCGAAGTTTAAAGTATTTGGTGAAAGCGGCCCTTAGTGTTTTGTTTCCACGTTTAATTTCAATCACAGAATTATAAATTTTAAAAATAACATTTTATTTTAACACACACACAGTTGTAACTCACTATTTAAACTTTGCAACCTATTCGGCTATTCACTTGTTCGTAAAATATTGTACCGTTAGATATTATCATGGTTAATCGACATAAAATATAAGTACGATAACGGTAAATAACGATAAACGTACAATATACATTGATTATATTGTGTGTATATTTATATAAATATATATATATATAGGTACATTTTACATCAATCCGAAAACCCCACGAAAAGAATATGTATTCTACGATTGAAAAAAAAATATCAACCAAAACATATTGTTTACTGTGTGTCTGTGTAGAATGTAGAAAATAATGATTAAAATGTGGTTTGGCAAAAAACCATTGAAATATAAAAAAACATGTGAAGATATAAAATTATACATAATATTATCACAAAAATAGGTTGAATTTTTATTAGATAATGTTATATAGGTACCAACAATTATTAATTAATTTTATTTAAAATTAGAAACTACCACTATGGCAATCAAACACACTAACAGCACGGATCTAATGGTAAAACGTTAAATTTGTAAATATGACAAGAAAAGTTCAAAATAATTATAACTCAAAATGTTAAACGGACATATACCATACGGAAATATATGGCTGCACTAATCTCATAATCACATAATGCTTTTTTAACTTTTTGCACTTTGACCTTTGTTCCTTTTCGAATCGCCGTACGCCAAAATAACAGCAGAGCGACATCCACTTACCAACCTTTTTAAGGAATACAATTTATTGTAGAAAATATTATTGTATTATAGTGTAATCTAATAAAACGAACCATGGGACGCCATCTGCCGATTATTTCCTTGTTATTCTAGACCATTACATGATAAAAACAAAAAATATAATCATATTTAAAAACGGCACACCCGCCCATACTTATTCAGTACGAAAAAATAGTCCCCTGGGCTGTTCGGTCGCATTTTACTATGTCTCCGAAAGCTTTGTAGCTCCTAGACTTATTTTCATCTTATAGAGAATTTTCCTGGCTTTCCGAATATATAGGTTTAATGCGGCGCCACCTTCCGGAACTTGGTCGGAAAAATTAAAAACGGCACACCCGCCCGTTCCTATTCAGTACGAAAAAATAGTACCCTGGGCTGTTCGGTCGCATTTTACTATGTCCCCGAAAGCTTTGTAGCTCCTAGACTTATTTTCATCTTGAAGAGAATTTTCCTGGCTTTCCGAATATATAGGTTTAATGCGGCGCCACCTTCCGGAACTTGGTCGGAAAAATGAAAAACGGCGCATGGGTACCTGCACCCGGCAGTACGAAAAAATAGTCCCCTGGGCTGGTCGGTCACGAAAAAATAGTCCCCTGGGCTGTTCGGTCGCATTTTACTATGTCCCCGAAAGCTTTGTAGCTCCTAGACTTATTTTCATCTTAAAGAGAATTTTCCTGGCTTTCCGAATATATAGGTTTAATGCGGCGCCACCTTCCGGAACTTGGTCGGAAAAATGAAAAACGGCGCATGGGTACCTGCACGCGGCAGTACGAAAAAATAGTCCTCTGGGCTGTTCGGTCGCATTTTACTATGTCCCCGAAAGCTTTGTAGCTCCTAGACTTATTTTCATCTTATAGAGAATTTTCCTGGCTTTCCGAATATATAGGTTTAATGCGGCGCCACCTTCCGGAACTTGGTCGGAAAAATTAAAAACGGCACACCCGCCCGTTCCTATTCAGTACGAAAACATGGTCCCCTGGGCCGGTCGGTCGCACTAATATACGGGCACATAATGATGTAAGTGAATTTGATGGCGCCATCTTGTGGTTGACGGTAATACAAATGTCGGGTGCCTTGAATGTAATAAAACGCAACCGGGCATACAAGACCTGTTATCACTAGTCGTCCGAGAAAATAGTCCCCTAGCTATAGTCCCCCAACTTCACACACGTAATTATTATAACCTTTGTCAGATTCCAGTTTTGCCTTTATTCTTCATATACATCTCAGTGTCTCACTACTTTCTGAATTGTAACCTGTCATCACTCGCCTTGTCGACAAACGACGTCTCGCATCGCCGATTCCAGTTTTTTGAATGCTACAAGTACCGTCTCGATCATCTACAGTTTGGTAACAGCCGCATTAGTGCGTCACAGGTCATCGCGATGGCCGAACGTCTTGAAGATTTAAATTTACCAGTGACGGCTATCACCCGTATAGCTAAGGAAGTGTTGCCGGCCAACATCATCGTATCGAAAGAAGCTAAGACTGCATTGGCCAGAGCAGCATCCGTGTTCATTTTGTACGTGAGCAATCAAGCCACCACAATCGCAACGAGCAGGAATAAGAAGACAATCAGTGCCCAAGACGTGCTGGAGGCGTTGGCCCAGGTCGATTTCGAATGTTTGATCGAACCCTTACAGCAACTGTTAGAAGGTATGCCGATACATTAAATAAAACAATTTACCTACCCCCATCAGCTTGACAGGGACCCTTAATAAGACATGGTGCCATGGTGGTAAATGTTTTGTCGTTGGGTGTTTATCAACAGTGGCTCAACAGAAATGTTTTAGGTCATTAATAATTTAAATCCATATAATATTATCACAATTCACTGGTGTAAGCAAAACATTGGCTAATTGCAATTAGATTATTTCAATTAATTTTGATTTGAATTTTTATTCATCAAATAAACTGTAGATGTTGAAAATAAATAGAAGTTATACCTAACTAATTATAACGTAATAAAAAAACATTATAAAGATCTGCTACATTATAATCTAGATAGGTAAAAGTAATATAATATATGGCTATATTATTTTTATTTAAATAACGTGTTGTAATAACAAATAGGTAGAAAAAAAACTATGAAATAATAATTACAGAAAATATGTATATTTACATATTATAAATAGGGTAAGTAATCTGAATTCATTGTTTCGTAGTTTACTCACAAGTCACAGGACCAACTCATCTTAATTTCCACTAATAATTAAGAGGACGCCACACTATTGTTTAATTGAGCCTCCATTTCCAAATGTATGTTCAGCAGTTCCAATTTAGTGCAGTAACTTTTGAATGAATTAACCTATTATCAAACTTGAAAATAAGAACATTATTTCATATTTGTGTTTTTTTATGGGTATGCATACCATATTTTAATTATTATGCGAGTGATGAACATTTTTAAATAATATTATTTTACATAGATACCTACTTAACTTGATTGAAAATTAAAATATAGTGATAAACCCATGTGAAAACACAAATAGTGTTCAGTTTACCTTTAAGTTTGATAATAAGTCAGTTCACTCTATTATTAAAGGTTATTACACAAAATTAGAACTGAAATTTACTATGTTGTAAGTTTGTAGGACCGAGATAACACACGCAAGTGTCGTCCTCTTAAGTTAAAAAATAAAATTTGAATAAGGTATGTGGCTTATCAAATTATAGAAAATATGACTAATTTGAACGATATAAGTACATAATAATTATAAAATAACTTAAATATTATTATAATTCTGCAAAACAATGCACAAATTACAAGTACATAATCATTTATCAATACTATACTAGTGCCATTGAGAGAGCCCTACTCGTTGGTGCATCCAAATGAACGAGCTCCTCGTTTTCGTACCCAAATTTCTCCCAATCTACCCTTTACTTGTAGCAACAACGGTGGCGGCAGCCAGCTTACGGGCAGACTTAGTGGTGTAAGTGCGCAAGATCGTATGAGTTTTAGGAGCCGCCCAGTAGCGCTCTCTCAATGGCATGAGTACAGATAGTTACGAGGGTAGTTAGAACATTCACGGTTTTCTCAGACTATCTTGTAACCCTTTCTAGAGAAAAAAATAATTACTATAGGTAAATTATAATATGCTTTATGGTATTTATTACACATTTTATTTCTATATTTTTCCAAAATACGTTTATTACTATTTAGATATTTGACCACTGTCATTCACTAGAATAGGTAGGTACACATTTCATAACGTTTAGTCACTATGGTAAATATATGATTCATGACTGAAATAGTAACATCTAATGTTGTAGTGTTTAAATCACTTTCTGCAAAATATTTGTTCTACATTTTTTTTTCTTGTAGATTTCAAGTCAACAAAACAACAAAAGAAGGATACCAAAAAACCAACACCGAACAAAAATGCAGACGATGCAGACGTGATTGATTTGGTGGATGATGATCTGGAATTGTGATTTATTACTATTAAGCCTTTTTTTTTTATCATTTATTATTTTTATTATAAAATGATGTAATTTCTAGAACATTAAAAAAAATAAATGTATAATAATATGTCAACATGGATTAATTAAATAACAATAATAGTACCTATATGAAAATATAATTTTGTATAAGCTAAATTAGTCTTTATTATTATCAAAAAATAAGATTCATGAATGCTTTTTAAAGCTAATTCCATTGTATAAAATATGTTATATAATAATAATAATAATAATAATAATAATAATAATAATAATAGATAAACACTAGCCAATAGTAGCAACGCTAAGACTGAAAAAACAGATATAAGTAATAGTCAGGTTATATTTTTAACATCAAATTTATGTAAGATTTCAGTTCTGCACATAGGGCACAATGATATTTGTTCTGCACACTTCCAACAGCAACACAAGTGTCCACAAGGAATAAACAAAACCTCAAACTAAAAAAAAAAAAAAATTATTATTTTGGATACAAGTTAATATAAACAAAATTAACATAGAATAACTTAAGATGTTATATACAAAATCAATTTTATTCTTTTGTTGTAATTCAAAAATTGATGACCATAGAGACTTAAAATTTCACCAAATATTTAAATTAGTATTTTTTAGACATGACATAATTTAAAAAAAATATTTTGGCTCTTTTTGTGCTATTGTTAAATAATTTAAACTATATTTTTTAAAACCTGTTTTTGGGTAGAAAAAACTTAAATATTTAAAAAGAGATTCCTCATGAGTTATTCTTAGTACTTCTTACCACATTAAATAAATATCTAAAATAAAGTTTTTTTTTTTACAAGTGTTTATTTATGTTTTTGGGAAACTCAACAAAACCAAGAACATTTCAAAATTATTTTTTAATTAAAAATGTTCAATTTTTAATTTCAATACAATGTTTCTTATAAGTAGTTCTAACTAAAACTCAAAAATCTTAAAAATAAATAATTACAATTTTTTTTTATAGATATTTGACATTAAAATAGTTATGTGTTAATTTGTTATATTTTAAAAATATTTAGGTTAATTATAACTTAAAAGGCAAAGGTCGAACCACGGAAGGTAAAACTCTAGAACCCGTCAACACATTGTACTTGATTATGTTATTTACTGCAATAGTATATATTATTATATTATTTTATTAATATTAGTAGTAGAAAATGTATATTTTATTTCATTTATCAAACTCAGATTATGGTTGTATCATCATTCATTGCAAATATTTTATTGGGCAGGTAATAATGTTATGACACCTGTCTGCCGACGGCCAAGTCACAGAAAAACCAAATTATAGAAAATGATGGCGTTAAATTACATTTGTTGCTTATCGTTGCTATCTATTGACATCATAATATTATTTGTCTCTTATCCCTATTTTCTAAATAACAATCTAGTTAACGATTTAGTTTGTGTACATTTGCTGGTGGATACAGTGCGTGTTTCCTTTTATCCAATGTTTGGTAAGATACTACGTATTGATATTTAATTTTAATTTTGTTGAAGCTTTTGTGAAGCTGTAAGCAACTCAGCTATGATGTTTGGTTCGACATACATTAATTGAGTTATCATTTTCAAAAATTAAAAAAACAGAAATGCTCAGTTTCAAAAAACTGTTTAAGGAAATGAAATAAATTTTTTTAAATTAAATTACTTGATAAATTATTATTATTATTATTATTTACTTAATATTGTAATTTTTTAATATAAATTAATTGTAATAACTAGATAATATTTTAATCAATTGTGTGTTCTCTCGTTGGACAGAGTATAATGTAATATATATTATTAAAGAATAGAATAATAAATTTTATACTTATATTTTAATTTGTGTATCAATATTAGTAAACAATAAATTTACACAATAACTGTGTGTAGAAAAGCATTAGTATAAAAATATTACTTTTGTTTCCATGCAGACAATACATTCAACTTCCTCTAAAAATGGGGCCGATGGAGAAAACTCATTTTCGGTTGGAGCAGACGGTATAGGAAAATAATTTAATGTATTTATTAATATTGCTTGATCATCACAGCTATTAACACCCATCTAATAAATAAACACTTTAGATACCAAGAATATACATGAATAATAACAATAATTACTTTTGCAAGGTATTCTTTTGTCAATGGTAATATCAGATCGTTCTCCAAAATAAATAACAGAAGATGACCACCACCAGCTGTACACACCCTGTGTAATAATGTTGGGTCAATTGTGTTCTTGGAAAATGTTAACTCAGATGGCATGTCATTAACCAGTTTTGAATACTGTGATAACCATTTTGTAGTTGTATCCTAAAAAAAAACCAATAATAATAATAAATATATATATTTTTAGTATTATTATAGAAAAAAAACCTGGTCTACATATAAAGAACACTAGTACAATAAGGACTGTTCTTACAATGTCCGGTAAAGTGTCAGTTAATACTAACCGACTGATAATAGATTTTATTATTGGCAGAATTTGACCGTTTAAATGTTGGTTAACTTTAACCGGACATTGTAAGAACGGCCCTAAGCAAATTAAGAAATTGTTTGGATGGAGTATTACAGCTTTGAATAATAAGATATACAATTATATGTAATTTAATTAATTAAGGAATTGAACTGAAAGAGAAATTTGATTTTAAAACTATTATGAATTACAACTTTTTTTACTTTATATTTAAAATGCTGAATTGTAAGTTAAGGTCTTGCATTAAAAAAATTTCTAATAATAAAGGAAGCTCCGAAAGTTTCTAATGACCTCATTCACCAATTGGAAGTTTTTATCTAGTTGGTAAAAAATGTAACACATTGCAACACACATCAAAATATTTCCTATGTATTTCAAGATTTAATGTTTATGTAGATAATTTTTTTTAAAATGATAAGTGACAATTGTTAGCTAGGTAGTACATATTTAACTGAATTTCACTTATAATTTATTTTTTAATGATTCTTTACAAATTGATAATAATACATTCTTACAATCCTTCCCCTTACAAAGTTAAGTGAGCTTCCAGCTGAGTGCCAAATTCTAGATCTCTGTATTCTTTAGTCAGGATTTCAATTAATTAAACGTTAAATTAATAATATTATGTATCTTTAAATTATTTTAATCTTACTTACAAATTCAACATTTTGAGCTTCTAATTCTTGAATTAAAAATTTTTGATTTTGGTTTTTTTTATCAATAAAATCCAAGAGCAATTTTGTTATTGTAATTCTTTCATTGCATAAATTATTCTGTAAAGAAAAAATTGTACCATGATGAAAAAAACTATTTTAAAGAAGATAATAATGAATATTGTTGATCATAATTTATACTATTTGCTTATTGAGCTGAGAGTTTTGCTTTTGTAATTCAACAGCAGTTAAATATTTGAGCTGATTATACATAGACTTCAAATGTTCTTTTAGAACTTGACGGTAACAATTGCTTGTATTGAGAAGATTAGTTAATTTTTCCATTTCGTACGAATCATTATTTGACAATTTATTCACAAGTAAACAACGTTGCATATTTACTTCTTCAATTATTTGTTCAACTTTTAATGTAAATTCTTTGTCAGTTCTGTAAAATATAAAATAAATATACAATACTTTGTTTTGTTACCACTTATTATACTGTTTAAATCATAATATTAATTACTCTGATAAATAGAGAAAACATTTCGCAGAGTTATAAAATGATATGTAAATAACATTGTTAACGAGCATATACTTAAGGGGGTTGGAAGCTCCATTATTAAGAAATATATGATAGGCAATTGGCTTAACACATACACTGCTGTTGTGTGAAAATTAAACCAACATTCATGTGAGTGTACAGCACATTTCTACCACATATTGTATTATCAGTATGGGACAATGGGCTGGCATGACGTTTCAGCAATTAGTGGTTTACACGCTCATACCATAGAGTAATTGAATTACTCTATGGGTCATGCATAAGTAATTGCATTTAAAATAAAATATTTTGTTAAAGTGAGAAATAAATTTTAATAAATTTAGACTTAGAAGCATGTCAATAAAATACGTCAACTTAGAATTATTTGATTTTAAAACTGTAAACATTTATTTTGTATTTATTGTTCATTTTTCTAGGTTATTGTGGAAGTAAATTTTGAATAACTGTTTAACTTTCTTTAAAAGGACATTGCAGTAAATCTAAAAATTTAAAAAATATACAAATTAAAATTGAATTTAAGAGCAATTAAATAAATATATCAAAACTCGAATCTCATTATAAACTAGTAAATCTATCAATCAACTCTATTCTTTTAACTAAATTCAAATCTGATTATTCTAAGTGGGCTTAATTTTGTTAGGCTTTAAAGTCTAAATCATGAAATAAATGCACTGCTTCCAACCACTGAACCACCTTACCTGATTTAATTACTAATGAAATTACTTACTTTCTTATTTTTAATTCATCATCACGATTGATATGTTTAATTTTATCACATTTACTATACTTTTCATAATAATTCATTTGAAATGATTGGCTTAAGTTAAGAGTATTATTTATTAATTCTTTTGATGTTTTTTCAACTGAAAAAATAAATAAAAAAAATTGTAATAAACATAGAATATTATAAAAATTATCAATAATAATTAGTGGCATATTTAATTCAAATCAGCCTGAGGAAATTTAATTTTACACTATTCCTTCACCATTCACCCAGCAAAAAATAATCAAAGTAGTAATTTAATGATGACATTTTTGAGACAGAACCCCAACTTTAAATTGTTTTTCCGGGGTAGTCAACTCAGGTAGATCATCGAGTTAAATAGCCATAACTTGAAATAGTACCATCTTTTAAATGATTCAAAAATTGTTTGTGTTTTAGTAGATTATCCTTTTGAATTGAAGATACTAACTGATTGGTAGTTTCTTCATCAGTTAATAAAAATTGAATCAGCTACAAATAAAAATAAATCAATAATATTACAATAATTTTTTTTTTTAAAGATGTGTTTACATGGAGTGACTCAATTCAATACATCATTTAGTGACATCTACTTTTTAAGAAATAAAAGATGAAATTAATAAAACAATAGACCTACATTTCTTAATTTATATTATGTAGGCTCATACCATAAACAATACATTTTTATAAATTATTGAATTAGTTTACAAAATTATGGTTACCATAAGAATATGTGTTAATTATGTTTTGTAATGTATATATGTATTTTAAATGTATCTATAATAGTTTTTCTAAAACATCTAGGTATATTAATATATTTATTCAAATTATTATTTTTGACTACTTATATAGGTACTTAATTACTTTATCATTGTTGCAATTTTTCTGAAGAAGATGAATTTTATTTTCTTGAGATTCTTTAATATTTTTTTCTTCATTAAGAAGATTCTGGTTTCTTAAATTCTGTTATCAAGTAGGATTTTCAAAATTAATGTAATTCAACTTAAAAAAAAAAAAACATTGTAACATACTTTTTGTTTTTCTAATTTTTCTAATTTTTCCTGTAAAGAAGTAAACATTTAAAATTATTAGGTACTAGAAATGTATTTTGTAAATTACATTATATAAGAATCAATCATTAAATTTACCTGTAATACTAAGTCTTGATTAACCATTCTTGATAATATATTCTTTGATTGTTTATTTGGTGTATTTGAAGAGCTATTATTATTCTTTGAAACTGTCAACAATTATTGGTATTATTAAGTTATTACATTTTTGTAAGCTAAGTATATAAATGCATATAAAATAAGACATTAATAATATTAAAAATATATATATCAATAAACTATTGTTAACTTTTTGTATTAACTAATACGCTAATAATACACAAGTAACTATATTTTTTTAAATATCTTCAAAATTGATATGATGTCAAATTCATTGATAGTATTACTAAACTCCCCAAACATATATGTTAATTAATACAGCTGGCTGTGTGATTTATAGGTAGGTGCAGTTAAAATTTGACACAAATTTAGAGAAGACATTTTTGGAATTTCATAATAGTTTTGATACAAATGTGGTGTTATAAACAAAAGTGTAAACATCAACTAGGAAACTTGTACTACCTAGTGTAGTATTGATCTCAATTATTTGATTTCAGGAGAAGAAATATTGTTTGATTTGACTTATTGTAGTTATTGATATAGGCTATGTGTGCCATAAATATTATCAGGTATTATATTGAAAAAATGTTCAGAGAATTGGGATACTTAATATTTAAATAGCAGGAATCTATAGAGCAGTGTCAGTGGGACCCCCGTAGGTACATAAAATCATTGAGTTGGTCTTCAGTCTGGATAAAAAAAATAAGGTTAGGGGTGGGAAGTATTTTAAATACAATTGTATCTTGTATTTAGTATTTACTGGGTGTTATTTTGAAGTATTTTGTATCTTGTATTTAAATACTAATTTAATTTAATGTATTTAGCGAAGTATTTAATACTTAGTGGGTATATTAAATAACCAAATAATTCAAGAAAATACTAAATACTTTTACCCCAGTTGAACGAATGTTTTTAAAGGCCGGCTTCATTCATGTACCGACCAGGTCAAAACTTTCAGACCATAATTTTGAAAAATTTTAATTATTGAAAGGTAGCTGTACATTTATTTTAACTACCTAATAAATAATAATTACATAATTTATGATAAAAATAAAATTTATTTTATTTTTCAAATTTATTTTTTATTTAGGTACTCGAAGGCAATAAATGTATTTTGTATTTACTTATTGAAATCTTTTGTATTTAGGTGATGAACATTGATGTATTTAGTATTTAGTACCTATTTAAATACAATTTCAAGAGTATTTTGCCCACCCCTGTCAACATGATAATATTATACTCACATATAGAAAAAAAACTCATATTGTCGAGAAGACGATATTCATTTCTGTAACGATCGGATGGATAGACGTCCGAAAGGCGGGCGGAATATTAAATGCGCCACTTAAATAGCTGGAAAATAAAAATTAAGCGTGAAAATTACAATCTGAAAAGAAACAAAAAACAAAAAAAACAATAATCATATCCAGTGCCAAGTGTTTGTGGATACGTCGTACATGGTATATTATTCGTTTGAACTTACAAGTTGAAAACTTGAAACGTGCGAAAGTTCGATTGCGATAGTAGGTAGGTAGTTATCGGGATTCGGAAACGGAGGCCAGAACAGCAGCTGATGTAAAAAATATAAGATAAGAGGAACGATCGTCTTTGTTGTTGTTGTTGTTGATAAAAATTCCAATGTTTCAATGTTCCGCGCATGACAAAATATATATAATAAATATATATATATTTTGTCATGGTTCCGCGTACGATCGTGGTTCACGAATATCACAGATTATAATTATATATTATATAATTATCTGTGACAGATATAATATTATAATAGCATACAGGGCCGTCCCTAGGGCAGGGCAGGCATTCGCCATAGTTGAACAGGCCCCGTTTTTATAGATACAATAAAAAAGTCAAGTAAATTACCAAAAAAAGAAATGTATGATTTATATATTTTTATACCTTCAACTGTTGTAATTTTTACTACCTAAACCTACTTATATTAATTGACGTCAAATAAATGTATCGCATTTTAAACGAATTAATGTGATTAAAATTAAATTTTCAAAGTTGAAAATTATAAAAATAACTATCTTCGAAGCACACTATCCCAAAACAAGGCACCAACTTAGCTATAATATCTATAGAAAAAAAATGCTGACTAGGTAACTAACATTTATATTTATATTAAAATTTTTACTGACATATTTGATAATTTAAGACGTAGGAAGGTTAATTAATAATATATTAAATTCTCAGAGGAGCGAAAAAATTCATTGATTTTACAATGATGTGTGTTTTTTTTCTGTTTTGTAACCCACATTTTGGGTAGTAAAAGTGCTCCGATTTTCGATATCAGCATATTTACTGATAGAAAAGTGAAACTATTCGGTACTTTTGGGAATTAAAAATTTCAAGTACTTTTACTTTTAAAAACAAAAAAGAGGTAACTTTTATACAAAACCAATTTTTGAAAAAGATTATATTTTTTTGGTGTAACTCAAAAATTAATGACTGTAGAACCTTTAAGGTTCTCTAAGATTTTCAACAAATATTTATATAAGTATTTTCCATAAAACATTGTTACAATATTTTGACTATTTTTGAGCTGGTTTTATCCTTGAGAAATTTTTATTTATAGACTTATTAGTTTATAAATATTATTATATTAAGTTTAAATATAATGACGTGTTTTGTTATTAATTAATTTACTTATTTATATAAAATAAATAACAATAATTGTTGTAAGTACAAGGTAATATATTTTTAAGTGTATTTGCTGGTTGCAGCCTTACCTAAGTACCTAAATAGATATTATCATAATATTAAATATATACTGCCAACTGACGATAATGAGTAAAGACATTTTAGGCCCCTCAATTTTACTCTGCCCTGGGCCCTGTCAGGACGTCCCTGATAGCATATAATAGGTATCTACCAACAATTTTAGTCCAAAATAATACGATGCGCAAACAGACTCCACACACCCAAAGGCCAAAGTACCGATCGGTGTCACCCAAACGATTTGCCTGATAAATAACCCCGAAAAAAAAAACCCTATAATGAAAATGATTTTTAGTTTTTACTTACCTAATAATGTAAATATTCAATAATATATAAATATAAAAAAAAAAACACAATAAATGTGTAATAGTCTAGTACAATTATTTCAATAATAATATAATAATTTAAAAAAAATAGTCATTTTTTTTTTACCACGGTAAATTTGTTTTTAAACGTCAATAATAATATTTTTCAAAAAATAGTACATATTTTATAATCTTTTTCTTAAATTATTGTAAATTTGGATGGTTTTTTTTATTGATTTTTCTTTGGGAAGTTCTTCAAGAATACTTTTTGAAAGACCTGTTACAGCTTCTGAAAATAACTGCACAGACGAGGCGTAGATTTTGATACTTTATAGCTTGTGTTTTAATTTTTATCTTAACTTTTGAGGCATCAATTTCATTTTTCCACCGAAGATGATTTTTCAGGATTTTTCAATGGCGGGGGGGGGATACTTGAAAATTAGTTACAATTTTATTTTTATTTTGTCCAGTCTATAATTTCAGACGTTTATTTGAGGTACTTATTTTAAAATGTTTATAACTTCTCAACTTTACTGGTAGAAAAAATGGTCTGATCATAAACTTCGATGACCGATGTATGTTTTGGGAAGCAAATTGGATCTAGTTGGTACTTTAGGAGGTCCAAATTGAAAATGCTCAATGCTTTTTAAAATAATTGGAGAAAAAAATGAAAATGTGTTAAAATTGTTAGGTAACCAGCTTGATTATACCGTCCTTACTAGTCATTTGGATTATATTTGATTAATTAGGTACAATTTTATTTTATGAATGTTAATAAAAAATTATTTATCCAATCAAAAAGCTTAAAAATGTAATACGTAAGGGCTAGTTGAACCGTCTACGATTAAATTATGATTAAGCTTAATCAGTTAATAACAGATATTTAACCAGCCAAATTTGGCCGATTAAACTGTGATTAACTTTATTCAGAGACAGTGCAACTGCAAGTCCAAACAATCTAACATTTACTTGTTGATTCTTCCAAAACGATTTTAATCAACTGTCTAAATTAATCATGGTGAAATACTGTAAATAGTGTAAATATATACAAGCAATACTTTATTTGAACTTGCAATTTCACTATGGGCTCTGGCCTAGAGAGCCTCCCCCCTAAAGACACCAGTGCATCATGATTATTTTTTATAAACACTTAAAGTTCAAATTTCGTCAAAACCACAGTTAATGAATTTGTAGTTTAAAACTTATAAAATATCAAATGTGTATAGCTAAGACTAATTAGGTTAGTAAAATGGTTAATACTTTTATCGGTAAATTTATACAGATAATTTTAGGAAAATTGGTATGGAAATACAATGTTTTTCAAAAAAATCGGTATTATCGTCGGTTATTATCATTTATCATGTATCATCGTTCATCGATTATTACCACGTTTATTACTACCCAAAGGGCAAAGACTAAAGAGGCTCTATAGATGACCAGTTGTCCAGATTAAACACTCGATTGTTCTAAATGTAGACTAAATTTGAGACTAACTATAATTTGGAATAACTAATTATATAAAAACTGTTTAGCAAAAAATAATTTAAATAATTTACTCAGGTAAAACCCTAACCGAACTTAATCCTGCGTACGTTACTGCGACTGTCGTAGTACCGAATACAGAGAAATGAACACACACAGAACTTGACAAATTTTATAAATTACTATTTTGATAATATTATCAGAACATTCTGATTCAGAACATTATACCGACCTAGTGTAGTAGTGTACTATTGTAAAAGTCTCAATCCGGCGATGATTCAAAGAGTTAAGAACGATACTGCAGTCAGAATTTGTCAGCCAGACTTAGTTTTGAAGTCTTAGCTTAAGGAAATTTCGAATACCACCAAATTCTGACTTCACCATCGTTCTTAGTATACTTAACTACATAAGTCTAAAAACAAAATTGAAAAAGAAATTGTGTCCGGTAAAATAACATAATTTTGGGTGCATACTAGTTGCCTCCCAAAATATATGAATTGCCTCCAATCCTTATCGTACCTAAATAAAAACGTTAATAAAAACTATAGTTGCCTCCTATGATCAGGTAGTTACTAACTATATACGAGTTACCTTCAAGAATTTTCACACTAGTTTCCTGAAATCTGAATCCCTGATGCCTCCTGTATAGTGGTTCATAAACTTCACTAAAAAAATCCACATAAATTGATGAATTTATAAAATTAACATAATATACTTAATATAATGTAATATTATGTATTAAATTATAAACATTTGGTTGTATAATTAAAATTAAATATTATATATATTTAAAATTATAAAATTTCTATTATATAATTATATATTTAAAAAGTTTTTGAATAGGTATAAAAATTGTATTAATTAATTAAATTAAATTATTTTAACATTTTCACTTATCATGTTTCGAACCACATTAATCCATTCTAAAAACTAGAGCGACAATTTTAAATTATTTAAAATAAATAATAATGTAGTAATGAGTGTTGGAAATCAACTAAACGTTACTCGATCATGTGACATGTATTCATGTATGTGTATTATTAAGAGTTGGTACCGATACCAATAATAGTCGTAATAATGGCATTTGGAAAAATTAACGGGCCCGAAATCCAGCTGATGCCGGTCGATTAATATAATAATGCGCTGGCTACTAATAAACGATGTTTATTAAAATCATCGTCGACGGCCCAGGAATAAATACCGAAATCGGCACATTTGCAACTCATCTGAGTATATAATCTGACCTAACCTTACGCGGACAAAAAAAAAGAACCTGAACGAAACAAAATGGCTGCATCGCATATCGAAGAAAAGGAAATGGAAATAACCATCATGCAAATCTTGGGAAAAATTATAAGCAATGTCGAGTACTAGATTATGGAAGAAGAACTTAAACGAATCGACGACATCGACCAGGAACCTACCATCGGAGACCTGGAAGGACTTTTATCGTATGCGACGCGCTTCGCGGGGGACGACTACGTCCCGTCCTGCAACGTCTTTCAACCGGTCGACAAATCTGACAAAACGGCAGAACCGGTTGAACCGATCGTTGACGACGTCGCGGTGGTCGCGCCTCCGGTGCAGGAAGCCGCGAAAAAGGAGCTGGGTGGCGAGGCGGTGGGCGCCACACCGGCCAGAGGACTGGAAGTCAGAAACAGTATCGGTATCTTGATTGGTTGGCTGGACCCGGGGGTCAAGGCAGAAACACGCGCAGCTCCGCGCAGTGCAACGGCGAGATTGGTGTCCTCTGCGTGGAGAGGCCTGACGAGAGCCGCACGCGTGTTGCGCTGTTGTTGTCCCCCGAAGTGAAACCGTCCAAAAGTTTCCCCCCTGGCCGAGGGCAGCGGACAAGGAGAGGCGACGTGTGGGGTTTCGAGGTAATAGGTACGCGGCAGTGCACATTCAGGTGGTGACCGGCGGTAAGTCGCCGATACACGTTCTCCGGCCATCCTGCGGTAGCGCGACGGGATCGCGGACGTTGCGAGCTCGAGGTCGCCGAGACACGCGAGACCCTCTGGCGGCGCGTCGGGCGCCCGGCTGCTTCGGTCCGGGAGCGACGACGACACGACGACGGAGGTTAGCGGTACCGGCGCGGACAACGACGCCGTCCCCGACGGTACCTGCTCAGTGACGAACGCTGCAGTGCTGCGCGACTTGCGTGACGGCGGCGACGGAGACCTCAGAGCTCACGGCGGGTGAGTGACGGATGACTATGATTACAGGGTAGCTAGGAACGCCACGGACGTCAGCAGCGCCGGGCTCGAGGAAACGAAACGTTTCGTCGGGTTCGACGGTGCGCGGCTCCGTGGCCATCGGCTGCGGCAGACGGAGACGCCAGGGCGAAAATCACGGAGACTATCAGGACAGCGGCGCGTCGTCGCGAAGCTGTCTGCAGATTTTCTCCCTTTTTCACCCAGTGGTCCGATCCCGAGTCGCAACGCCGCCGATTCCGCAGCTGCACCGAGATCGTAGTCGCCAGCTCGCCTCTCCGAGCTTTGCAGGTCACCGTCGTTGCCGGCACAAGCAGTCGTCTTCAGCACCCGCAGTACCGTCAAGCAGCGCACGACATCGCGCACTAGCCTCTCGTCGCCAACCGTCATCGCTCTCGCAGCCGTCGTGACCGGGCTTCGTCCGCTGCCATGGTCGTATTAGCGGTCTCGAGCAAACTCGCCCGCGACTCTCGTCCGCCCGGCAGGACAGCCCGTGAGAACGTTGTAGAGGTGACCAGTGGCCATATACCAGTTACCAATACATCATCAGCACCACCAACTCGCCATCACGTACCCCCCCACACATAGCGTCGTCTTGTCCGATGCCTTTTTTATTTTATTTAAATTTTCTTTACTTATATCGAATAATATTCACTTTACAAATTTCGGCTTTTTCTTTTTTGTTCTAACTTTTTTTTGAACATACAAAATTGTATAATAATATAACGGCAACCGTTTCCAAAATTGTTTCCGTTTTTGAAATTATATTCAAAATTAAAAAATGTTATATTGTTTTTGTTCGATAATTAAAATAAAATTTGTGAACACATAAAACTATTGTTGCTTTTTTCGTATTGTCGAGTGTGTAAGTCAATTCTAACAATATAATAAAATATTGACTTGAGTTGTAATAATATTCTAATCTGAACAAATCTTGTAACAGGTATCTATTACTGTACTTGGAAATCACTTTTCGGCGGTATGAGTGTTTTGACAGTTGTACAAAAATATAATTATAGGCATAACCGCACAGTAAGTGGTTCGACCTTTATCGAGTACCTAGTGGAAAGTGTAATGCATTTGCTAGGTACCTATATAACATACATTCTCAGACATGGCCACAATAACATTATTCTATATTGTCATCACTCGTCATTATTTGTCGGTAATGTTTTCCTCCATACCATGTTTTAGAACAATTTATTTCTGAATAAATTTTTAGAAATAAATTTCTAACCCAAAAAATGTGATAAAAGAAGAAAAATGAATTTAAGAAAACAAGCACACATATTATTATAAAATCAATCCATTCTCATCGCTCGGCTCAGAATTCAAAATAATAATAATAATAACTATAGTTTTTTTTATTGTTGTTGTATGAACACCACATAGTTTTTTCGTAAACTAGATAGGTACTTCGACAGTTCGACCCGTCGAAATGATTTTCGAATGATATATTATACCGAAGTGACGTTTCAAGAGCTTGCATTATTTTTATTGTATAATGACAGCAATCACTGGAGCAGAAAAATCATTTTCCTAACCAAAACTAATAAAAAATGACTTAAGAAACGCATGTGGACGAGTGCGTTCATCTAGTATAGCAATTTCAAATATATAAAAAGAACGAACTAAAAATCTAAATATTGAGGAAATGATTGACAATTTTGCTTTATAAATTATATTTCTTATAATAAAATATCTTAGATATTTATGTAATTATGATGTGAAATAAATTATTATTTATTTAAGATTACTCTTAAATATCATATTACCTAATACCAGTAGGCAGTAATACCTATCTGTTAAAATATGGTTATAAATGAATAATGCAATTCGATTTGTAGTAAAAATATAATGGTATAATACTGTGAATTGTTTTTCAAGGGAGCCCCTAAATTTTCTTTTGCACCAGAGCCCTCAGAGTTCAAGATTCGGTCCTGAGTTTAGTCAACAAATTTAAACAAAAAAAAAAAAAAAATGGGACTCTGTAGCTCACATAATATCATATTATGTACCCTCTGATGGCCTAGCTGAGTTTCCAGTGACGTGTCGAAGGTATTATTTTGGAACAATTGCTCCTTCAAAATTGTTGGTTGGTGGGTGTGCTTCCTGCCACAAAATACCTAGCCACCTAGGTGACTAGGTATATAGTAGAAATATCATATCCGACTATACAAATCGTTGCAAATGTAGGCAAATTTTGTAAAATTTGTCATTTAAACTTTTTTGCTATTATGTTAGAAATGCCGTTACAAACATCGAGGAGGGTGGGCGGGTGGTTACCTTGTATACATTTTTGCTCCTCACCAAAAAGGAGTTCAACACGCCACTGGTATTATATATTTACTATAGTCTGGCCGAGGTCTGCTTTGCATTATATTATAATATTATCATTACACAAAAGAGTATAATATAATCGTATTGTTTAGTCGTATAGATATAAATATATGTAATCGTATCAAATAACAAATATAACAAAAACAAAAGTCATAAATATTACAAACTTATTTTAATACGTCATACTACTCATACCCATGTTTGAAAATGTTTGGAACCACTTATAAATTTATTAACCGACTATTAGGAGGCAACTAGTACCACAGAACAATACTAGCACTGAACTAAATTTAGTTCAGTGAGTAATATACCTATAGACGCTTTTCGTTTACGATAAAATGAAGGGTAACTCGTTTATAGTTGGGAGGCAATTCGTGTAAAAATTATAGACCTTTTTGACTTCGGGAGGCAAGTAGGAAACTATTGTAGTGTGTGCCATAATTGTATGGTCGGACTTTTTTTCCGGAAAAAAATTCCGAATTTTTTTCAAGGATTCATTTGAGAATATAGCGAATACGGTTATTCAATTGATGAATGATGATGTTGCCATTGTGGAGTTAAAATGTTTAAAAGACATCTGATTTCAGCCTTCAAGTAAGTTGAGCCTTGTAGGAATTTTTATAATTGATCATTGATCCTTGTGGCCAGGTATGGTACTCTGGTGTTGTTATGTATTAAAAATCTTGTAATAATGAGTAGGTACCTACGTTTTAATTTATTTAGGATCTTATGAAATGTGCTCAATAATTTCATTCAGAATTAAGAAATGTACATTCAATAAAACTACGTTTTTACATTAAAATAACCCGTGCCCTATATCACGCAGGAGTAGAATGTTGTATATATGTATGTATTGTTGTTTGTTATTGAGTTGTTTACATGACATATCAGTGTTGTTGTTGTTGTTGTTATTATTATTAGTAGTTACCACGGACTAAGATATAATGGACTGGAAACGAGCAGCTTATCTGTTATCACGATTCACGGCCACGAATGTATGTACAAGAAGGCAGTTACTGTAGGCACCACACTACACAGACTTCTATACTACACTAGATAAGGAACTCTTATACAATGTACATTGTTACAAGTGAAGCTCAGCTGTGAACGGCCGCCATTTTCTCGGTTGGCAAAACATTTCATTTATTATACAAAATGTATTAGGAATAATATTTTTTTTAACGGTCAAATAAAATAGTAAATGTAAAATGACTTATATAAAATATTTTTTTTTTTTTGTAAACTTAATGTTTAAAAATAATAAAATACGATATAAAATAAATCATAATATCATCTTATTTGTCATATGAAATACCATACAATTGCCAACCGACCTTGAAGCTTCAATTCATGACCGGAGTTCGCTATCTAGTAATATATAGAAATCTGTGCCACACTACCACGGAATAAATATTCTAAAGTACGTCTTGTTTTAGGTGTTATCAATAGGTTAATCGACGTCGCCAAAGAGTCATAGATGACGCTGCGCTCGTCGCCGACTGTAAAATATCGAACATTTTTTTAAAAGAAAAATCGTGGAACGGTTGTCGACACTGTTGTGTTCGGCGCGCGCGCGCCGCAACTTTATCGCGCTGGCGAAAGGTGGGAGGGGGGTAGTCAAGCGGACTGGCCTACCTGCGGTAAAAATATGTCGAAAACATGTCATCAATGCTCTGCTGTGCCGTGGTAAGTACACCGATTTTTTCTTAATTTTCTAACTCGGTCCGGTACTGGGAACTCGTCTAGCCCGGGCCCTGAGTCGTGCCGTCCCGTAACGGTGGCCGTGGACTGCCGGCCAGCCGCGTCCCTTGGGGGGAACCTTTGCTGTCCGCCGTCCTCGTGGTCTCTGTTCTTGGGCCCCGTTCCGGGTACCCTTGACCAACGTATGCTGCGGCCATCGTTGTTTCCGGTCCGCGGCCTCCGCCGTCGCTCTTCCCCTATCCTCGAGTTTTCCGGGGTAGCCCCTTCACCCTTTGAAATCGGAGGCCCCCAAAATCGACCCTTTATCCAGGTTTCCGGGTAGAATAGGTAGTTGTTTGTACCACTCATTCTCCTTCCGCGGTGTCTGGTGCCCGTCGCTGATAAGGAGATTTTTAGTTGTTCTCTCTAGACGTGGTCATCTTTGTTGTTGCTGTTGTTATTGTCTTTATTGTCGTCCTACTTCCGCGATGGCAACAAAGTAGGCCAGAATTTTGTCGCAGGATTTCATATTCTTCCGCTCCCCACCCCTAGTCTTTAATTTTTTTAAAAATCTAATAATTTGCGTTCTGTTTGATTGATCCATTTATTTTGACTTATGCTTTTGATGTTATGGTATAATAGTATGCGGCAAACAATTTTTAAGTATTCTCGAATAAGGTCTCATGACTGACTCGCTGGCTGTTGTAGGTACCTAATTTTCTATAATTTTTTTCATTGTAGCCCATTTGTTTGAACAAAATATTTTTGATTTTATTAAAACCAGAGAAAATAATTTGGTTTAGTTTTGTTAGACCAATTTTATTATTGTATTGAAAGTGTTTATTTCCAATTTATTTATATTAATAACAATAATATATTTATCTATGTTTTGGTTTAAAATGAAAAATCATTAATTCATAGTTTCCAAGGTAGTTTTCAATAACAATATTGTATTTGATCATCATCAAATAATATTCCACTTAATATTACACCTTTTGTTTTGTTTTTCGTCTCTGTTGTCAAATCAAATAGTGTCCAATTAAATGAACTAAATTCTGGGAACTGGTGTAAATCCTTTGTCGAGAACCATTTAAAATATGTGAATTGTTATCAAAGTAAGATGACCTATTTCTGAATTAACAACATTACTAGAATTTATTAATTTCCTTAAACAGTTACTACAAAAGTAACCCAAATTCTTTATCTTAATTAAATATTTCTTCTCCTATACAGTTAAGTTGTTTGCTGATTTATTAGTCGTAAGTTCAAATATTATTCTTCAATCGATCAAGTATGATGATTATTGATTGTAATAAAAACTCTTTAGGTATTTGGATTAAAAAATGAAAAATTATTTGTATGTATAAGTTATTTACTTTAACAAGATATGAATAAAAAAAGGCCTTGTTTAAATTAAATTACTTAATAGTAAAATATTTGTGTGTGTATTGATAACTAAAATATTATGTTAAATATAAACTTAGGGTCGTAACAGTTAAATAGGTATTAAAACCTTACTTGCAACTAACAATTTATTGTTTGTTTAAATTACGTGTATTTAAGCATTATGTCCCTATAATGTATTATTATTATAATACCTAATCATAAAATTATATAGTGAAGTGTAATTGTGTTATTTTTTTGTTAAAAAACTAAATACCTGGAAACCTGAGATCTATTTTCCATTACTAAGTTTATCCCTGATCTTACACTATGACTCATAATAGTGTTGTGATGGTTATCAGATTAGGTACTTAGGGTAATAAAAATTTGCTTTAGGTATAAAAAATTGGTTTTCAAAATGTTAGTTATGCCAATTAAATTAATCAATATTTGTGGTGTATGCCTTTTTGGGAACTTTAAATTTCCCCTGGGGTAAATAGAAAATTAGGTCCCAATAAATATTTTTGTGTATATTTCAGTAAACTTGATTTTATTTATTAATTTAGTTTTCATCATATTTCATGATAGTAATTTTATTCTTTCTTTTTTTTTTCAGCTTTCAAAACTAGGCTAAATTAGCTTTAGTCTTAATCACAATTAATAAATTAAAAATTAGAAAAAAAAGTAATACCTAACTTTAAAAAACAAAATTCTTACATCAACTTTATTCTCTTCTTCGCTGTACGTTCCTTCAACTAATAGTCATCTGAGAAAACGACATACTGCAACATTACCAGCAAGCATTGTGACAACTATCAACTGAGAAATCTTCTTTTATTGTTTAAATAATATTTAATTGAAACGTGTGCTGTGTATTGTAATGAACCAACCGAATACTTTAGAACTGTCTATTTTATAACAATTATTATTAGATTTTTAAAGTAGGCTAGATATCTTTTTATTATTTATTAAGTTTTTTTTTTGTCTAAGTTAAGAAGAAAGAGTTTTATGTAACAACCATAATTATTTGTGTTCAAACGTAAAACATATAGGAAAGTCGCTTGACTTAGTCGAGTGCCTTTTTAGCTCTTAAAAAATATTACTGTGATATTGATTTTAATGGTAATAATGTATTATAATATATAATTTAACGTTAGGATAATACATAGATTATAACATAATATATAAATATAAATATATATATTTAAAAACAAATAAACCAACCCCATCCCCTATTCCCCCACTCCCTAAAAACAACTTTACCTATATAAATTAAAAATTTTATGGTCATAATAGTTAATTATATCAACAAACAATAACTCAAAAATTTAAAACTAGTATGTCTAACAACTCCCAGTGGAATTTGTTTCAATCAAATATGTTGAACGGTAGCGATTCTTCTATGATAAACTTTAAAACCCTTTCGGCATTAACAAATCTAAACAATTACCCATCATCGAGATCTTCAAATCATTCACCACCAAACTATAATTCACAGTCAAGTCAAAATTTTCCCATGCCATCACAATATCAGTCGTCGCAATTTCATCAAAAGGAGTCTTCGATGAATAATATGTTTAACAATGGACTACAGTCTTCAAACTTTGATGTTTTCTCTTCTGATAACACCGCACCTGTGAGTCGTTATCCTCCAGCTGGCAATGACATTTTTGGTGGACATGACACGGCTACTGCGAGCAGCTCAAACAATTCAAATTTTTCAAATGAATCGTTTGGTAACAATCAAGGAGTTAGAGAAACCGGAATCATAGAGAAACTTTTGGTTTGTACAATTACTTTTATAAAATTGGTTGTGTTTCTATATTGAACGACTTATCGTTTTCAGCATTCTTATGGTTTTATTCAATGTTGTGAGCGCCAGGCAAGATTATTCTTTCATTTCAGTCAATTTAGCGGCAACATTGAGCATCTTAAAATTGGTGATCCCGTTGAATTTGAAATGACTTATGACAGAAGAACTGGTAAACCCATTGCTAGCACTGTTACAAAAATTGCTCCTGAAGTGGTAAGTGTTTAATACTAATATCCATCATGTTTAAAATTAATTAGGTAATTATTATTTATTAGGTATTAAGTGAAGAAAGAGTAACTGGTGTAGTAACAACAGAATTGAGGACTGAAGGCTCGGGCGGTGATACACAAGGTCGAATTAGTTATGAAAATCGAGGAGAGTGTTTCTTTCTCCCTTACAATAAAGATGATGTTGAAGGTAACGTGACTCTTAGAACTGGTGATCAAGTAAGCTTTCAAATCGCAACAAATCAGAGGGGTAATTTGGGAGCTACACATGTCCGCTTAGAAAATCCAGTACATCCAGTTAAATATCAGGGAGTTGTGTGTTCTATGAAAGATGTTTTTGGTTACATCGAACGAGCTGATATTGTTAAAGAAATTTCATTTCCATTTACTGAATTTAAAGATTCCTCCAAACCTTTACAATTGGGTGATGATGTAGAATTCATAATACAAACACGTAGTGTAAGTAAATTGAATGTATTTATTTGAATATAAGTATAATTTGTGTGAAAAAAAAAAAACCATAAAACAAAAATCTATAGTTAAAAATAGTATATAAATATTATAAAGTGTTGCTTCTTTTAGAAATTGTATTTGACCATTCACTCCTCTAAATAAGCATTTGGGTTTTATGTGTTATTTCACTGATACATATGAGAACATACAGTATTATCTAAATACAGGATTTATATTAAAATGCTAGTGACTCATACTTTTTTAGTAGATAGTCTATTCTGTTCAGCGAGAGAACTCGCCGATTGTGAGCATATCCCCGTGTCACCCTGCTATTGAATACGGTTCCCTTATGGCAGGGTATCGTGTGCCTATGCGCAGAATAACTAATTTTGATCGGTCTCCGGAAAAGTAGTATTCCATGTTTTGTTTTTAATAACACTGTTATGTTAAATATTTGATATTAAAATAAGGAGAAATGAGTGGTCGGATATAACTTGTTTTTAAATATTTTCTTAGTAGATAATAAATAAAGTTTTTATTTTATTAAGTTCTATATTACTTAAAGTATAATTTAGTTATGTTTTGTTATTCATTAGGGAAAAGAAGTTGCATGTAATATTGAACGTTTGCCTCCTGGTTCAGTAATATTTGAAGATATCGAGGATACTGTTATGAAGGGCCAAGTTTTAAAACCTTTAGACAAAACCCCTCAAAATCATTTACCATCTGAACCACTACCTGGACGTATACGTTATAGAGCACCTGATTATTCTGAAGTTGAAGTTTCATTTGGTGAAAAAGATCAGCAGGGTGATTTTACGCTGAGGTAATTATGATTGATTGATTTAACTTTTGCATAGGTACTTGTTGTGTCCACAGAGAGAATATGAATGTGTAGAAACTTAAACTTATTGTTATGTATATCACATGACCTATTATAATAGAGGTTTGAGTAAAATGGGTAAAATTTTAGATAGCAATACATACTTTTATGCACATAGTAATCATATTCTCTTGATGGACAGAATATTGACTGATCATAATATGATACATAATATGTAAGTAAGTGTAATGAATTTTGTTGTTTTTTTTTATAGACATGGTGATTGGGTTGAATTCCGAATAGCAACTGATCGACGAGATCAGTTAAAACGAGCTACTAATATTTCGCTTTTACCAGAATCGTTTGTAGTTTCTGGTGAAAGAAGAGAACTAGGTATTATTGCAGTTTTAAAACAAGGATTTGGATTTTTACGTTCTGTAGAAAGAGAACCAAAGATTTATTTTACTTTCAATGAAGTTCTGGATGTTCAACGAAAATTAGAATGTAATGATGAAGTTGAATTTACAGTGGCTCAGGTAATATCATAAGATTCTTAATTCATTCAATAAACCTTATAACACTAAACTACTAATTAATAGTGCATTTTACAAAAGCTGCGAGTTACATGAAAAATGTATTAATTTAATGGTTCAATAAAATTTAAATGAACCAATATTATGAGCCACTAAATAAATCATGTAATGTGACCTTACCCTTACTATTGATTTGTTAAATATTAATTGTTCGTGCAACCTATAATATGTATGTAAAAACCAGTTATTTTATAATACTTCAGACATAATGACCTCCCACAAAACCATCATCAGTGGCGTAGAAAGACTCATTAGCGCCCCTGGCAAACCTAGGAAAATGTGCCTTTTTAGCGATTAAAAAATTGACAAAAATACTGAATGATATTTTTTAACATTTATTTTTTATATACATAATTAGATTATACAATATTATTTAACTATCAGTTATTATGATAATGTAAATTTCAAACTTTAAAAATTTTCTTTTCTTGCTTTAAGGCTAGAGAATTCATTGATGATTTCGTCATATGAAATTTGTTTAGCAAATTCATGTTCTATGGATAAAATTGCCATGCTTATTAGTCTCTCTTGTCCAATAGTTGATCTTAAGTAATTTTTTATTAGTTTAAGTTTACTAAAACATCTTTCACAACTAGCAGTTGTTACTGGAATAGTGAGATATATTCTTAACGCTATTTCTATGTTAGGATAAATATCTTGCAAGTTTTGTTTGTGAATAAATTTTAATAGATCAATCGGTGCCATATCAATCAATACAATTACCTGCATCGTACTATGCATTGTAATACGCACTATCGTCACTTTTAAAAATAAGATTATTGATATATAGACGACAAAAAATATAATAATATACTTTATAGACGGGCCACGGGCGATCCGATAACGATAAGCTCGATGTTCAGTGTTCACACACACACACACACACACACACACGAAACACGAATTTAAAGATAAACAAAATCATACACATTTCAAAATGTATAGCCGTATAGGTAATAAAGAAATGTCGTTTTGAAAGAATAAAAATAAGTACCAATTAAAAAGCACAAATTTGCGCCCCTGGCGTAGGCACAGTTCGCCATACCCTTGCTACGCCACTGACCATCATTACTCAGTATTCTAATAGTATTTTTCATAAAACTCAGTATAAATACATAAGAGAACTATCGCCACACCTGCATGTGTTGTTCCGTCTAACAAACGTACAACATGGACAATTTGTGTACAAAAGAATCCATTTTCTGTTGCTAGTTTCAATACTATAGTGAATTCAAATATTATCAATCTTAAAATAAAAAAAAAACCCGTTACCCAATATTCTTCCTCTTCAAGGAAATCTATGAATCATAATTATATTTTTGTTAATAAGTGACCATGACAACGAAAACCTTACAAAATATCGGTCAGAAACTAATAAACGTGTATCCAGTCCAAAAAATATTGTATAAGGCATCTCGTAAGTTTTTGTTGACATAACATAAACATTTTGTTTCAAAGTGACTGATAAGTGATTACTATGAAAAATATTAAAATATAAATATAAATTGTTTTTAAATTTTAAAACATCGATAAAAACTTACAGGAATCACTAAGTAATATTTTTACCTTGCGTTTGATAATCGTTAATTTACCCTTATATTTAAGAACACAACACAAATTTGCTGTGTTGTATGTTACAAATGTGTAAGATGGAGATACAAGTGGGCGGTGTCCTCTTAAGGAAACAACAAGTATTCCATTTTACAAATTTCAAACCTGGCAATGTTTCTATTAATTAAGCAGTATGATATTGAAGGTTTTGACTTGTTCATATTTGCATGTTTTATTTTTTTTAATGATCCAACAATTTTTTCGTTTTCTTGGCTATACATATGTTTTGAAAAGATTTTGTTCTTACAAATACATTTCTAATTTTTAGAGTAATTATTTGCATTATCATGTATTTTATTTTATTTATTTTTGTGAAATTTTACTCATTTCATAACGGAAATTGTATTCATTCATTTATAAATTGACGGCATTAATACTCTTGTTTTTTTTACTAAAACAGTATATTTTAAGTTGGAGGTCAATGTTATACTTACAAATTAGATTACTTTATTAGGATTAGTGCCTGGTTCAGTTTTCAATTAAATGAAAACAAATTTCAAACAATAGGTATGATTAAAATATTATTTTATTTTATCCATAGGATCCTTCATCTTCATTTGGAAATTCTAGACAAAGTGCCATACGAATTAAACACTTGTCACGTGGTTCAGTACAATTTGAAGTACTCATTGAAGAAGGATTAGTTGGCTTAGTAACAGTTGTGGCTACAGAGTTATTTGAACCATCAAGTCCTTCAAAAAACAATGCTCATGTAAGTGACTAATATTGAGTACTACATTATTCTAATAAATGTAGGTACATTGAATGGTACAAAAAGATTGATTTTCTTGCCTTAAGTTTACAGCGTTTAAATTTTTGTTTTTAAGTATAGAATTTTATCTTTTTTTTTTTTTCATTCCCACTTTAAACTTTATTGCTATGATTTTGCATTTAAAGGGGGAATATTCGTTAATTTTTTTTTTGATTAAATCATTAAATTGAGAATACCTATAATTAAAACTAGGTTTAAGGTAAAACTTAATAATAATTAAAAACAATTTAGTGATTTTTTTTCATCCGTAAAAAGCGTTAAAGAATGGAAATTTTGCATTACAAATTAATTTCTACTGGTCTATGTGTTATAGTTAGGAGCTTGTAACATTGAATAAATAATCTAAACATGTTGTTTGGTATATTGCCATTGGCCTATTTTTGAAATTTTTTTTTAAGTTCAAGGGTTCAAATTTAAAATTTGGTATTTATTGAATATTTCTTTAATATTTTATGCTTTTTAAAGTTCAAAACGGAAAAAAACTCAACGATAGTATACAGGTATTCCTATTTTGAATTGGTTTGTTAGAGTTGGGGTATAGCCGATTCTGATGACTAATAACAGTAGTAACACGCTCTGACAAGAATTTGTCCATAACTCAATCGGATATTCCCCCTTAAATTAATGAAACATACCTATTTCAAGGTCACATATTAAATCCGCATTACTAAAATGTTTTCTTTAGTATTTGAAACGTATGCTCATATTGTGCAAACGGACTTAAAATGTAGTGAAGTCGCTTAGCAAAACAAATTTTCTTTTAATTACATTATTTGTTTAAACAGCTTTTACGTAAGTGTTTTTCATTTTTAAAAATGTACTGATTTAAAGTGAGTTAAAGTTTCAACCAATCATATAAAAATTGCATGGAAATTTGTAAAAAATATTGATACACAGTTGATAAATGCAATAAATAATAAATGTGCATAAATTGAAACTTACTCATTCTCAATCAGTCAATATTTCATTATTTCAAATAGAAAAAACTCGATAATGTAATTCAAACTCAAAGGTGGGAGGGTGGGTTTGCCATTCAAAAATTTTTTGTTTAGCTGTACTTATGACGAACAAAATATTAAAATATTCAATTTTTCAAATATTAGTGTAGTATATCCTTTCTGCAGTTTTTTTTCTGCACTAAATTTAATTTTAGGTCATGCATTTGAAATATTTTGTCTTACCTTTATCATTGAACACAGTGTATATTATTATTATATTTAAATTCTTAATTCATAATATGTTTTAATGTGATCTAATGGTGATTTTATTTTTGAGTTTTTAAAGTATTTAGTATTTACCACTAAATAATAATTGTATTGAGATGATCAATATAACTATTTTCATACACTGTCATTGTTGGGTTAAGGTATGGCAGATTTAACTAAAACAGTAGGTAATAGGATAGGTATTACATTTTTTTTTCCTATCCGCATTCCATAGAAAATACTACATTTTGTAGCATTGATACTTAACTGTTTTTGTGAATAATTAAAAATATGGCAGTTTTTTTTTTTGTAGTTAATAAACACATTTCTTAGTGTTTCTTACCACAGGAGAGGTATTGTTAGTATAAGTTATAACAGAAATGTCCTTCAATTATGTCTAAACAATATTAATATTTCATATCCTATTACTTTATAACATAACATCAACACAGATGAATTCTATCTATAAAACTTAAATATAATGAAATACTGGTTCTTTTAGAATTAATATAAATTCAAGCTCAATTTCCCTGTAAACCAATTTCAATAGTGTTCTATCAAAAAATTTCATTTTTCTGTTCCTATAAAAAAAATCCTATTACTTTATAACATAACATCAACACAGATGAATTCTATCTATAAAACTTAAATATAATGAAATACTGGTTCTTTTAGAATTAATATAAATTCAAGCTCAATTTCCCTGTAAACCAATTTCAATAGTGTTCTATCAAAAAATTTCATTTTTCTGTTCCTATAAAAAAAAATATCCGTTTGAAATGGATGTCACTTCTGAACATGTAGTGTGAGCATTTACATTTAGAACTAAAGTGATATTTTTATAGTGTGTTTTAACTGGATCCGTCTAAATGCATAGTGTGTTAAATATTTTACAATTTGTAATTAATGTTACTTACTAAGATGTGTTGTAAAATATTTAAAATTCTTTGACTTAATAGTTAATTGTGTTTATTTGATATGCAATATAATATTTACTAATATCATTTTGATTTATGTCATAGTACAATTCAATTGACTTTTAATTCCATTTCCTACTTAAATTATCCACCATTTTTCAAGAACATTTAAAACAATTTATGGTAAATGGTAATGCATTATTATCAGTAATTCAAATGTTATCTTATTTGTTATTACTATTACTACTGATTATTCTAATGAATAATAGTTGTTTTTCTAACTACCATGCCAATAATTCAACTACCTATCATTTGATTACCATTATATTTGAGCAATTTAAGTAATTCATGATAATAATTTATAGTTTATTAACAGTAATAGTTCTTTTTCTTTATATCATTATATTGTGTTTTGTCAGAATATACTCATAATATATTATTATTGATTATTCTAGCAGTTTGATGAGGTTACTTATGAACCAGGAGTTATCACTTTGCATTCAAACGGTGTTAAGAGAACAATACTGTATAACATCAAAGACTGTAACGGAAAATATATACCAAGACAAGGAGATAAAGTAAACTATTTTAATGATTGTTGTTTAGCAACAATATTCTTATTATTTCTGTTTCCAAAATTATTTTTAGGTGAGATTCAATCTTTATCAAATTAAACGCAACAAGGAATTAATTGCGATGAATATTCATTTGGCCTCAACCGCGTCAAACAATACAAATAATACACATACTTCGTCTACTGACGAACCAAATCGAGTGGACATCAAGTATGGCTATATTGCCGCACTTAAAGATGGGTTTGGGTTTATCGAAACCATAGCACTTGATTCTGAAGTATTTTTTAGATATGCGTAAGTAAAATTTGTTTTTTTCATTCAACTTGTTAATATTTTAATTGCAATTTACATTATCTGTTATATAGAAATTTGAATGAACCAAGCGCGTCTCTTGAACTTGGTATGGAAGTAGAATATACACTGAGTACCAGGAATACAGGAAATGGTGGGAGCTGTGCATCTGCTGAAAATGTTAGAATTTTACCACCAGGTTCTATTAGTGACAACTGCGAATTGCTTCAACCAAATGTTATTTTGGATGGAGTGGTCTCTCGTCCATTGCGATCTGTAAATCCCGAGCAGACTGAATATGCTGGTATAATACAAGAAGTACCAACAAGTAAGCTTTCTTTTTTGTTATATTCAGTGCTTGAAATTGAAAATGTAATTTTTGTTTTACAGCCGAAGAAGAAAATATTTCGCAATATGAATTTGGAATTAAAGGTTTGATAAATAAAAGAGAGTTGTTACAAGTTGGAGATCCTGTACAATTTCAAGTAGACTCAAAAAATAGAGCTGTAAATATAATTGCGATTCGAAAGAAACAAAGAGCTCACGTCGACGCTATTAAAGGTTTGTTTGGATTTAAAATTACATTTTTTATGTAGCTACTAAAAATGTTTAATATTTTCTTTTTTTAGGATTATTTGGTTTTTTAACTCATGAAGTAGAAGGTGGTAAAAAACTATTTTTCCATACATCTGAAGTAACTGATGGAATTAAATTATACCAAGGAGATTTAGTGGAATTTGTATTAGTTGTCAATCAACGATCAGGAAAATCATCTGGCTGCAATGTCACCAAAATAAGGTATTAAACTAAATCATCAAATTACATTTTTAGGTTTAATATTTGCTATTTACCTGTTTATATATAATTGTTCTACTCCAATTCAATGGTTAAATTCTTATTTTTTCAATTAGTTAAAAATTGATATTTAGATTATAAAGTTACTTATTATTTAAAACTTGTGTATTACATGTTGGCTTGTTATTTAAATTTTTAGTTCTGCTGAAAATTCACCTCCCAAACAACCATCTCAACGACCTGAACATTTGATTAACCGCATACGTACCATTTCTGTAATAGATGACGGTTCACCAAAATTAGTAGTAATTCGCCAGCCTTTAGGTCCAGATGGATCAAAAGGGTTTGATCCAAATGCTCGTAAACAGCACAATCCAGGGCAGCTTATTGATGTGTAATGCGGTTCACATTTGAGTAATTAACATTTGACTACCACTGACTTATTTCCCTATTCAGAATTTTATCATTATGATTACATTACTATCAATTTTATCTTGTAATAAATAATGAGCTTCCAACTTGTTGATTATAAAATTACTAGTCTTGGAGAATAGTAGGTCGTCAACTTAATTGTAACCAAGTGTCTAGCATTTAATGTATTCAAACTAAGTCTTACAATGATTAATTTTTTTTTTTTTGCAAATATTTCCTTAATAAAATGTTTTTTTTTGTGAAAAATTTAGCAATAAGATAACAGGTTATTAGTTTAAATATTTTAAAACATTTAATTAATGTTAGTTATTAGAAGGCACATAAATTATATATACACCTTAGACACATAGATAAGTAATAGAAAATGACAAAAAAACATTTTTAATTTAATATTTTGATATTCCCAAAATCTCCGATATATTATTCAAATTAACTTCTCTTTCTGTTTTTGATTTTAATCGTCATACACTGGATGTTAATCGGTGTTAAACGTGTTATTAATTGGTTCATAATAAAATATTCTTTTTCACTGCTCAATCTCATATTCATAATTAGAATAACTGTCTGTTCTTATCATCAATATAAAATGTATTACAGCTCCACTTGGGGTGTTCTAATTTCTTGTATTAATAATCTATAACTTCTTGAAATTCAATAACTGAAATAAATGTTATGTTGATCCAAAAAAAAAAACAAAAAAAACAGTCATATCCATAAATATAATATACATAACATATTATAGTAATAGTAGTAATGAAAGAGATTTTCAGTGTAATATCTTTATTTAAATTTTAAAATCACGTTCTGTTCCTAACATAGATCTCCCTATTTCAGCACCGTATACATTAATAATATCCTTCCCGCATTTTAATTTTAATTTAATTTTAATTGGATGCATTTAAAAAAAAAAATGTTCTAATTCCTCTTAATAATTTGAGTAAACCATATATATTATATGTTATTAACAACCTAAATTGTGCCTTAATAATTTACAAAGCTACATGCTACACTCGTAGATAAACAATTCTTATATATATATATATATGTTATATTGTATATATATATTTTATATTTTATTATTTTCTAAATATTTGCAAATTATTGACTACGTATTTGACTGAGGTTTGTTTTCCATACATAAGTATAACTATTTGAAAATAGATGTTTTTCTGTTAAATTTATTAATGATAACCTTTAATCCTTTAAATGCATCCAATTATTGAATATGCTCACAATAACTTAATTAAATTAGCTTTTAATCTATTACTTTAAACCTAGGATAATAATCCTACAATCGTGAGCAAAACTTACATTTTCCACATTAAGTTTACCTTTACTCAATAAATAAAATTTCATAATTAATTAATATTAACTAGAGATTGTAAATACAAACATTTATGCAGTATCTTAATTAATATTAAAATTAAATATACAAATTAAGGTTCAAATACACACACGAATAACACTAAGTCATAGTATTTAAGCAGATTTTTTTTTTTTATTATTATCAACAAATACACATTTATTATTTTTTTTTCTAGTACAAATCTTATAAGTCTTGTCTATTTATTTATTATAATAATCGTTCAGGTAGTGTTTTTTTCATTCCACATTGTTTTTCATCACATGACTATACTCACAGTTAATCTTTCGAGCTTTTAGATTTGTATAAGCATTTGCTTAAAAAAAATTTAGCTATACAGGTATGATGACATACATACAAATTATGCCAAACATAAACTAGTATAAGACGTAACTAAACTGTGATAAATTATGAGTATGAACTATTGTAATGTATTTTAATTGTTGTTTTTTTTTTTATTTGAAAAAAGGCATGTAATATTTTGTATCTGTTTTTGTCTTGCAAATAAAATGTATTTCCAAAAAAAAAAAAAATCATTGAAACGTAAAAACAACAATGCATTGTTTTGCAAGGAAAAAACTTGTACAATATTTTAAACATGATTTTTATATTATATTGTAAATATATTATATTATAATAAATATTAATGATGTAATATTTTTGAATAATGTCGTAATCATAGTAATAATGGTTACTAAATTTATTAAATGCACTAAAGTTTATAATTATTATTATTATTATACGTTTAGTGTAAATGATGTTTGAAATTGTTAACTGGACAGTTTGCAAACTCTCTAAAATTATTCAGCAACTATTTGATATCTATAATATTAACTATGTGCAATTTGGTTCATTATTATTTTAACATACCAAAATTAATTTTTCTTAAAAATATATACTATAATATTCTTCATATAAAAGTATTAATTATCATAATATTTTTAATTAATTGTTTAATTTAAACTAAATATCTATTTGTAACTTAAAGTTATTTGAATTTGCTTTATACAATATAAGAGAGCATTTATACAATATTCAACATAATATACTTAATTGTATTTACAAATTTAACCAATAATTTCTGCTGAACAATTTTAGTATGCTAATGCACAATTTTTTTTATGTATGGTTAGATATATTTAACTAAATTGTATTTATTAACTTGAGGGATCAGGAATATTTTAAGGTTACATAATATATGGCCTTTTAAATAATAATGTACGTATATTTTAAGAAGATTAAATATGTAGTATTTAAGTAGCATGAGTTATTGTGAGCATTATCATATTTATATAATATGTAGTCAAGTAATTATAATTTATAACATAGCCTACTAATAATTCAAGTAGATTATGAGATGATGATTATTATAATTATTAATTATGTAATTGCAAAAATTATATGTAGCATTACATGTTTTTCCGGGTTGCTTGTGAACTATAATAACATTTTACCAAATAAGACAATTATTGACAAAAATTGTTAAAGACTTTTCTGAAACACTAGGGAAAAATAATTAACTCGCTGAAACTGTAAGGCTGAAAAAATAACAAAACAATTTGAAACAAACAATGAAATGTGTTTTTTATTTGAAAACAATCACATCCTTTCCATTAATCATGTGTTGGAGAAAAAACAAATGTGGTTTTTTTAGTACAATTTCAATGTTAACAGTTTTTCCGATACTGTTGGCTTTATTACTGTTATTTCTTACTAAATCGGGTTTGTGGTCATTATAGTGCTTATATTAAATATATAAATTTATAAACAATCATATTATGATCGTTGTGTTTTCATTATTAGTTGACTTGTTAACAATTTTAAAACTTATAAACTGCGACATACAATTTATAAATTTGATTATTATTAATAATGATCATTGGTATTTAGAAGATAATTTATCAATTTTCTTAAGTTAAAACCAATGATGTTCCAACCATATGCATCATATTGTGTGTGCCGTGTCAGATACCAGAAGAACAGAAGAAGTGTAATTTTTGAAGCGAAAGCTTTTTATTAGTAAAATTTTTAAAGTAACATTTGTTTTTGTTTATATTTTTTATAATCTATATGATTCGTAGGAGTTTCGACACGTATGTATCCTACAACTAATAAAAAATAAGTAAGTACGCAGTTGCATAACAACTTGCCATCGTGTCGGTTATAGGTAGATCGTAAATATGTATGTAAAAACAAATTAACAACTTTATAAATAGCTAAAATGCGTTTCTATTATTAATTATTATACTCCGATTGATTATTATATTAGACTGTTATATTATCTGGTGGAAAATTGCAAAATCTAATACCTAAAACAATACTTACCTACCAATTAAATTGTTTAATAGGTTAGGCAGGGAGGTACCTAAATGTAGATTGTAGATAATAATATATACTATTATTATTGCAGGTTATTGACGTAAAAAAATACTATGCAACATGTAAATTACCTATTAAATAATAATTTTTATCGTACCGATAAGGTATAATAGGTGTTCATAGATATTGTGTGGAAATGTGGAATAATATGTATTTTATTCGAAAATAAATAATAAAAAAATTTCAGGACGGAGACAGAAATCCATAGGTATGGTAGTATTGCGGGCGCTCTGGCCATTTTAAATGGTAGGAATCTAAAAATTGATTGCAAAAGTCAGTAGCTGATCGTTAGTTTGTCATCACTCATTGACATTCAGCACCGAATCATCGTGTATATTGTATAATAAATTATTATTGTATTATAAGTGTAGGTGTAAATTTTATTCAATTTTCAAATAAAGCTTATATACTTGCCCAATTTCTTACCTTCTCATAACGTTTTTATAAAGTGTGTAGATTTAGGATGAATATTGACTAAGGTATCTTAGTCCTTGGTCTAACCTATTCCTAAACAGCTGTTATACGACTATATACACTAAAATACACAAAAATACAAAATTGTAATAGGTACTTACACAGTTTAGTAAACCACGACCTTAAACTAATTACGTCTATAGTAGTTACCTACTTCATAGATATAAACATTTAAACTAGGTAAATACCAAATGAACTTCTAATTTATATTCTAATAACTTGAGTAATTAAGTTATTATTTTAACACACTATACCTTCTAAGTTAGGAATTTCAGAAACTATAACTTATGCCTATTTTAACTTAATTATTATTTTAATTATTTATTGCCTAATAATTTGACTTAGAAACCGTTTTTTATCCGTAGTCAAATTACCTACCTATTTCCTATCTATTGTTTTAGATTCTGAGTGAAACGATGAATGTATTGATTTTACAATGATGTGTGTTTTTTAGATTCTGAGTGAAACGATGAATGTATTGATTTTACAATGATGTGTGTTTTTTTTTTATTTTTTTTTTATTTTTTATTTATTTTTTTTGTGTCTGTGTACACGATAAGTAGTCGAAATAATGCTTCGATTTTCGACTTCAGTATCTTGTTCGATTGGAAAGTGAATATCGTTGGTGCATTGGGGAGGTCAAAATTTCAATTTCTCAGTAGTTTTCAAGAGCGCCGGGAAAAACAAAAGAAAAATTAAGGAAAAACGGGAATTTTTACGCAAAATCGATTTTTTAGAAAATTGAATTTGGTTTTTGGTGTAACTTTAAAACAAATGACCGTAGGTACATGCAATTTTCACTGGTTGCTTATATTTGCATCTTCTATACACGATAACATTTTCAAAATATTTTGATTTATTTTGAACAGTTTAGGGACATTTTCATTTTTAGTTTTTTTTTAGTTTTTTTTCTAGAAATATCAATAAAATTTTATTTGTTGGTTGCGAAAGCTTGAAAATTTAATAGAAGGCTCCTAATATATTGTTTCAAAGGCAGATGAAAAATATTAAAAATCCTTAGTCACAATTTTTTTTTATAAGCATTTAAAGTTCAAAAATTGACAAAATATGGAAAAATCACGAAAATTAGCAAATTATTTTGAGTTAAGAATTCGTCAAAATTTTTCTTTTTAAATCTAAGATTTGAAAATCTAATACAAGATTACTCATAAGATTGTCTACCTTTATCAATAAAAAAATCTCTACCGGAAAGTCAAATTAAATTTTTATGAGCGTTTGAAATTCAAATTTTTACAACATTGGATATTCACTCGATTTCTCATGTGGCAATTTCCTTTTTTGTTGTAATTAAAAAACGAATTACTGTAGATACATGAAAATTTCACTGAATGTTTATATTAGCATTTCCTATACACCATACAATTTTGAAAATATTTTGACTCTTTTTGAGCCGTTTACGGACATTTTCAGTTTTCATTTTTTTTAGTTTTTTTTTCTATAAATATCAATAAAGTTTTATCTGTTGGGTCAAAAAGTGTAAAAATTTAATACAAGGCTCCTGATATATTGTTACAATATCAGTTGAAAAATATTAAAAATACATAGGCACAATTTTTTTTTATAAGCGTTTTAAGTTTTAACATCGAATTTTGACAGAATTTTTCAAAATCTCGAAAATTATTAATCATCGTAATTAATAAATTATAAAATGTTCAGTTTTTATAGCTAAGGATTGAAAATTTAAAACAAGATTCTACGTAAGTAGTTAATTCTCTTACCGAAAAATCTAAAAAATATACAATCACAGTTTATTTTTATAGTCATTTTATGTTCAAATTTGGACGAAATTACATATTAAAAAACCTAGCATACCTGTTTTAGTTATTTTGTTGTGAGTGTATAATACTATTCGTGGGTACTTGAAACTTCTTAAGTACACTATATTATATATCTATGATAGTATCAGGGTTTGTTATTGCTGTATAACGTGTTATAAGTACCTAATGGATATTGTGATAATGTGATATGATTAATTTGGAATTTATTATATGTCAATTTTTTTTTAATACCATAGATATATATGTTTATAATTTTCTTAAACCTAGACTGACATACCGTCTTCGCTCAGAATCGTTTTTCTTATACAATGATATTGTATCATTGAATTCAAATTTAATACCATCCATTATACAGTGACCCACTTGTAACCTACAGTACAGCAGAGCGACATCCACTTACCCACCTTTTTTTATATTCCAGAGGTAGTTTTTTTTGGTACCTAGTTACTTTAATTTTTTAGTTAGGTATAAGATATTTTTATACTTTATAGGCCGTAAATCATCAACATTATCACTATATAACATGTTGTAGGAACTATTGATGGCATCCAGATTTGGGACTCTGCCAAACACTCTAACACGAGAACAATTCAAGCATTCCAGTCAATCTGTCCTCGGAAATTTGTCTCTGCTCCATGGTACATCACAAATAATAATCTCCACAAAGACCTAAATATTCCATCGCTCTCACAAATAACTAAGTCTTTCTACATCTCCTTTCACTCTAAGTTTATCCATCACAACAATCCATTAATAAAACGTGCCTATCTTCTTCAAAAAAAGGAACTACCTATTGATTGTAAATTCAGGCGCGTACACAAAAAAAAAAATCGGGTGGGGTTCATAGTAGCTTTTTTGGGTGGGGGTTGAGCCTCCAACCCCCCCCCTATATACGCACCTAATTGTCATAATTATAGAATCATTAAATTCGGATAATGAACTGATTTTCATTTTGTTTACCGCGTATGACCATTATTTGTACCAATACACTAAATAATACATTTATTAAAAATTTTTATCATCAAAGTTATTGGATTTGAGAAATGTAGAATCATTTTTCAATGAAATACTGAGTATCGCGATATCTACTAATTTGTAAGTGTGTATAGGTATCTTGAATCTTCCCTTAATCCCTTGGTAATATAATTAATATACCTATAGGTTGGTATATATAATAAGTTATTAATAACTAATACATAATAGGTAACATTTTAACATTTCTCGGTCATCGATTAGGATGCAATCATATAGGTACCTATATTATATTAATGATTGTAATACAATATAATATTATACTCAATGGTAATAGGTATGACTGTATGAGTACTGAATAGGTACCTTATTAATACCTTTATGTATATCTATCACGTTTCTCATTGAAAAATGTTTGGTAAAAACTTAAAAACGTGAATGATTTGATGTAAGATATAGTTTATAAAATTAAAAAAAAATAAATAAATCCATTGCAGCTAGATAACGATACATTCAAACGGGACTTCTTGTTTCGTAGTCGTATTCTGACCGTAACATTCTGAAATCATAATACAAATTTGCATGTATATAATATACATAAATACATAATGACAATTATTAATAATAAAATATTCAAGCACATCAGACAAATTACAAATATTCAAATATATAAGTATTATTATTATTGTTTCACTTGTGTGATGCTGCATAGGCGCCAAAAGTAGGCAGGTAGGTGTATAAATGTCCCCAGGCCCCTCGCATTGGAACTAAAAACTTTTTTTAGCAAATATTTAGCAAATAATCAGCATATTTTTGCATGCTAACTTTAGTAACTTCCGTATTTTTAATTTAGGCTTGATATCAACAATTAGACGAGTGGCTATAAACATGTGTCTCCAACCGTCATTTAGGTACATATCAATATTTTTTTTCGTAATCAATAGAGGCATTTAGCATGTAAGTATAGAATGCACAATGTAGATATACTCGATAATTAAATATTTTCTAGGTTATTTAGGTATATAATACATTATTTAGTTTTTGAAGTATCCGCGTATGAAATTTGAATAGGAACTGCAAAATGTTGAGTGAAAGCTCTTATACCTATTAGGTATTTAATTTGTTTTGTTTTTTTTTTAATTATTATGTTGGGAATAAAAATAATAACTTATTTAAAAGTTGGAACATAAAGTGTTGATTTCAAATATAATAAATTTGTTTTGCGCATTTCTATGTCATATTTTATCAATGTTTTTACATTTTACATTAATTGAAGTTATCTCCAAAACAGTTTGATAATTTTATAAAGACATATTTTGAAGACTTTTATTGCATAATTCCGTAATCTTTTAATCCCTATAATAACAATAATAGATAGGTACATTATATGACATATTATTATAACGTAGTATACGACATTACGACATCATAAATATAATTATTATTATTATCGATTTCATAACGTAATTAATTATTACTTGTTTCGCATCTTGAGCCGTAATATCCAGTTCCCGCGCATCTACATTTATATCCCGGTTCTTGTGAAGTTTGAACGCATACTCCGTTATGATTACACGGACCTTGTGCACAGAAATCGAATCGACGACCTGAATAAATATGAGAAATAGGTCGTTATGAGGCGGATACATCGATTTGTGTTGACTCTTAGGTATTATATTATAATATAGAAATTATATTTTATGGGTAGGTACCTACTTGCCTAATTTTTTTTCACTTATTATCTATCGCTTTATTACAATTTAGATTTTTGAAAAATTTAAGTATACTTGAAGACCATATTTTTTGCAAAATATTTAAGTTTTTTACAGCATTTTTAAATATTGTCCTGTGGTAATAAACTACATGGGTATGTATAAATTTTTTTTCGTCTCTTTGTTCAAGCAGAATATTTTTTTAAAAGCATATAGGTACCTATGTTATATAATATATACCTACACTGAACATTTTTATGATATATTGAATTCGAAATTTAGTGGGTAGGAGTGTAGGTCGTAAGACGTAGGTACATATAGGTATAGTCTTTAGATTTTATTTTGAACAGAGGACTTAAAGTCTTAAAACCCATATATAGACTAAATATAATTTTTGAACGCTTGTTTCCAGAAACGATTTCAAAGTAGCCTCGGGAGGGGGGTTAATAGAAAATTATGTAAAAAAAATATTTGGGAGAACGTCAGCATAGTTTTTAAAATAATGACAGTCTTCCGGATCACCCGGATTAGGGTTATTATCATAATATAATACTGTGATGCTCGAATATTAGAAACTATACAACCTTTTAGAGCTTTGTAGCATTCCTCGTAGTTACTGTATCTGTATTCCGAATAGCAACCCTTGCCGCAAAGACATTGGCCTTCTTGTATTCGACAGCCCTGTCTACTCTGGTCGCAACTTTCGAACACGGGTATAACTGAAATCAAAGATATTTTGTATAAATTGTATACCTACCTAAATAATAGTAATATTATAACTCAGTGGCGTAACTAGTAGGTAGGTACCATTTTGTAGGATGTGGTGATGTGACACATCCTGATTTGTCACAAGGATTATAAAAAAAGAAAATTAACATTTATTTTTTATGATATTTTAATTGTACTATAAATTATAATTCATACATATATTTACTTTTTTTTATAATAATATGTAGATATTATCTAGGTACACATTTTTAATCATTATGTATCATACATTCATAGCCCATAGGTATCAAAATTAACAGAGTTCACAAAAACAAGCTAACACAGAAATTAATATAGGTTTTGAAGGGGGGGGGGTGGATATTTTAACTACATCTTATCCCGTAGTTGATACAATACCAATCACCATGCAGGTCTAGGGGAGACTGTGGATAGTAGGCTTGACCAGGTATAGATTATTTTACAGATCTATATAAATTATTATTATATATTATTGCAGTGATTGTCTGCAGTGATAAATTATAATATCTATATGAAATTTATAATTTTTCCTGTAAATAATTATAAATAAAAAAAAAAAACGAATGTGTAGGTAATTGAAACGTTACAATTAAATATTAAAAATCATATTATAGGTATTAGGTATATCTAGGTACCTACTTAAATACATTTTCTATAGTTAGTACCTTGTGCCACGGTTACTGGTTAGCTTAGGTGTATGATGTCGATATATATTATATATTATTGTACATTTATACTAGCAGGCACTGCAATGCGTTGCTATTACTAGGTTTTGGTGATTATGCGAGTAGTATATTATCAGATAGGCAATTTACTTGGAGTAGATCATCGAGGACCCGCGTGGTGCGTACGTGGTACGTAAGTGCAGTATAAGTTAACAACTTTTAAGTACCTATAGAAAAAGGCAAAAAATTGGTCCACTGAAACCGTGGTTCGAACTCTATATACATTCTGTACTAAAATACACGGGCTCAGTGGCGTAGACAAGGGGGAGAGTGGGGGTCAGATCCCCTCCATTGGATTTTTATTACCTTAGTAAAAAGTTTTGAGAGGGTGGGGGATTTTCCAATTTTCCCCTCCCATTTAGGTATATCGTTTTCTTTTTTTTGACCCCCCCCTTTCAGAAATCATGTCTACGCCACTGCACAGGCTTATCGCATTATTAATAATATAAATTGTTATCAAAACTAAAGAAAACCAAAGTAACTATTTGTAAAAAAAAAAATAAATAATAATCTCAAAATCCCTGTTTGAAAACATCCCCTCTTATTAACTATAATGAGCCTATCTTCTTCCTCAAGATCTAATCATCTATCTTTGTACACATCGGATGAACGGTTTGGGAATGCATAAGGGACACATGCAGTTGGGTACAAAAATGTTTTGTCTTTTATATATATACATATGTATATATAGAAGATTATATAATAAGGAACTATATTATAGCGGAGTGAATATTTCAAAGGTCGATCGCCGCAGTAGGTATTTACGGAAATACCAAGAATAAGAGGGTGCCGTCAACCCCACGCTAGACGGGGCAGAGAAATAGCAGATGTACATGTTCCATATAATGTCTCTGAAAACCATATATTTAGATATACGAATACACCATAGCTGCAGACATTCTACACGTGACATTTACATAATATAATATTATTATTTATCCCGCGCAGCTGTTTTGGGCGATTTAATTTTCCCACATCGTCGTCACCACAATGAAATATTTTTATAATTTAAAAAAAGTCTAAATTATCTATTTACAATAATAACCTACACTAACTTCAGAAATATTATTCATCTGTAGCCTTGGATTACACCACCTAGCTACAAATCAAAAATAATACAACAATAATATCAATAATACCTATAGATCCGTACCGTACCGTCGTCGTCTGTCTCAAGTCTTTATAGTAGGTTTTTCCGATTTCGGAAGTCAGGAAATCAATCTTTGTAAGTAAATGGTACCTAATTATGACGATACCCACAAAAAGAAACAAATTTAAAAAAAAATAAATGTTGTAACTCTTCCGACTTAAAACTCGGTTGACCGGCGCGTTTCAAAAATTGCAAGGGCAGCCCTAGGCTGCCACCGTAGACACGCCTATGTTTACAGTGTTTACACATAACTATGTAAAACCTCGACACGGTGAATCCAAAACTGATTATTTAGGATACCACTTAGTAATTCGAGAAATTCGTATCACGAGTTCACGACGACACTGCAGCTGTAACTGTGTATACTGTATAGTGTATATGTTATTCTAACCTAACCACGGTGAACAAAAATTTCAAATACAAAAATCGCCGAGCCTAGTATGATATATTTATAAATACCTACCTATACGACTATATACTGTATGATTCAGTGGCGGTCAAATGATTATGCCATGGGCCGGGCCGCAGGGGAAGGTGGGTGATTTTTTGACATGCATTTGATCATTAAATATACAATTTATATTATTATAAACAGCCAACAGGTGTCGAAAATAATAGGCCATGGGGGATGGTATCGGGAGGAGCACCACACCCCCTCCCGTTTGACCATCACTACGACTATGAATATTATATTAGATAGAAAGATGAAATCGTAAGAAAAAAAACATTTACAAAAATAATCGTTATGATGGTGGTCGCGGTTGAACAGTAGACAGTGAATCACAAAATATTAAATAATACGACAACTATAAATGGAATAAATAGACAAATAAAAAACGAAATAAGTAGGTTGGTATATAGCCGTACAGGTACCCATTATTTGTTGAAGGTTTCCTCAGATATTGAGAAAAATCAATGTGTGAGTGTGTGGCTGTGTGTAGTGGCAACGTGCGTTACCAGGATAATGAAAGGGGGAGGGGTTTAAGTATAAATTAAACTAAGTTTTTTTTACAGTTTTCGACTTCCGTATATAAACAATACATTTATTAGAAAAAAAGTCTATGCAACTAGCTGTGTCGAAGCCAGAAGGTGTAATACTATGAATTTATGCGCTGTATTATTTAGAACATTTAAGATGTGTTTACATTTGAATAATTTCATAACATTCTGTGATGTTGAATTATGCATATTTTGTTTTTACCTAGCTGAACTCTCTCTTGAGTCAAATCAATAAACTAATAAAATTTAAGTATTTCAGTAGGTATATTACAGTCATTACAATTTACAGTACCTACTATATTAGTTATTAGTTTATTACTATAATATAATAATATATAGTATGGCGTTTGTTTATTGTGTTACAAGTTACGACAGTGCACTACATAACGGCGTGAAATATGTTTAATATTTAACAAAAATAACAGAACCATAATATCATAACTTATAAATTATAATATTGCACCTTCCTATCTTATCAAATTTAAAGTAGGTAATAATTAATTATTGTTTTTACTATAGAAAATACCCACCGACGAACAACGAACCGATATTATTAATTAAGATATACCTACGTGTAAGTGCGTACCTAACTGTATGCAGATTACGAAAATTGTTCTTTTTAATATTTCTATTATTATACCTACTCCAATGTCAATATAATGTATACGTTTTTACAAATATACCATTTGAATATTTATTATGTGCGTATTTGAGTGTAAGTACGTCATAACATATTATACCAACATATAGTCTAGGTATTAATAGTACTAGGTATATCTTAGGTATATGTCAGGTGGCATAAAATACATGGGTTATTATTTCAAAATAAATATTTTAATAACTATATCAAAACAAATTACATTTACTGTAATGACTAATGAGTAATTATATTTAATTAATATGGAATTTCTTTCAGCTTTCAAGTTACAAACACACAAACTAGGCGATTATATTTTAAACGTCATTCGGTGAATAATATGTTTAATTGGTGATAAATGTTTAATTAACTTTAAAAAAGAAAATTAAAAAAAAACTTAAGTTTGTTAAAAAATCAACTGCAGGACTATATTAATACTATAATTCAATATACAACAATAGTTTTGATCAGGTAGGTTTATGATCAATTTGAAAGTAATAATCACGCGAATGGCGAATGCCTAATAATTAATATGAAGTACACAATAGACTTTCAAAATTTCATGTACCAACGTCCTACGGTCATTTGTTGAAGAGTTGCTTAAGCCCCTCTAATATTTTTGGGTAATTTGGGCCTATGTAAGTTACCTAAATAATAATTATAATCACCACGACGAAGACGTGAAGGTGCCCAATCATAGGCGCAACAAGAACCAAATTATTTTGGAGGACAGCTGTAGATTGTAAATGTAGCAATAGTAGCATTCATATTTTCTTTATTTATCTGAGTGAACATTTCAATTACACTTACACCTCTCTACTAAGTTTGTATGTTTAAAAGTGCTTTAGGTATATAATAAATATATATGTATATAATATATATATACAAATTAATATATACATTATACTGGTAAGTACCTACAGGTATATTTTATACATTATATTTATTAATTTTAATCATCAAATTTAAATTGTATTTCGACATTTCGTAATTCTTTATTAAATTTACAACAAATATTTCTTTCAAGATTATTCCAAATAGATAATATATCAAAATTCGAGAAACTGCCTTGCAGCTTAATATTACTCATTTTTACTTTCTTGATTTTTAATCAAATAAGTATGGTAGGTAATTGAAATGAAAAAAGTCTGAATTTTGAAAAATTTAAGAATTTGTGTTAAATAGGAAAATAATAAAAATGTAACTCAGTAATGATGAGCAGGTGGGTAATTTAGCCAGGTTTAATATAAAATACTAATGAGAGAAATTTGATATCACACCCTGCAAGCTGTATAACTTGAATCCATAAAAATGTCGGCGTGAACAGTCCCAAAATTTCTAATTTATAACTCTCCTCCTAAACTATGATATTTAGAAAGTTGGTTGGTAACTCATTAAAAAGGGATTATCAAGTAGATAGTAAATGTGGAATTAAATTTTTTTTTTTTTAATTATTTAATTTTTCACAGATAAAAAAAAGAGATTTTTGCTAGATTTTCATTTAGCGAGGTAGATTTCCGAAACTGGAGAACAGATTTCGTTGTTTGGGGACTTGTTAGATTTAAGTTGGCTAGGAGAAGTGCAGTGAAGATTTTCAGAACTTTATTTCCAATTGTTAATTCACTACAAAGCTGTAAAGCTGAAAAACATAAAAAAACGCCCAATAAAATTTGTTTTAATTTTTTTTTTATGTTCTGTAGTGAATTAACTGTTAAAGATAAAGTTCTGAAAATCTTTTCCTGCACTTCTCCTAACCAATGTGAATTTAACAAGAACCCAAGCAACCAAATCCGCTCTCCGGTTTAGGAGATCTATTTCACTTAATGAAAATGAAAATTATTTTTTGTGGGGCTGTTCACATTGACATTTTTCTGGATTCAAATTGTTATACCATTTGGTTGTGATATCAGTTAATAAATTTCTAAAAATTAAGAATCAAGAAAGTTAACGTGCCAATTCCTGACTTGGCAAGCGTTTTAATCAATTGTTGTGACTTGTTGTCCAGTGCTATGTAAACATTTGGGGGGACTAGTAGCCACCCCAAACTCCCACCTATAATTGCTCCCATAAACATGTTACCTATTATGTGCACGTGGGTGCGTGATTTTGTGTATTTATGACGTGTACTTACTCGTGGTGATCAGTAATAGTGGCAGGATCATCGGCGTAGCGTAGTCCATGGTCGTCCGCGGTTAAATTATATTCTCGATGTTTCGTGTCTGAGGAGGCTCTCCTCGAGTCTTGGGTGAGGACGACGACGACGACGGCAGCGACGAAGACTTAATATTATAAGACTTGCGATCAGCTGGCGTTAACGATCAACTCTTGTATAATATACGTCGGACAAATGTTGAACACATGTGCACAAACTGGAAATAGACGACGATGAGGACGAGATGCAACCATATTTTAATCGTCCCCGCACTATTGTAGCGCACACGCACGCACGCCCGCCCACCCGTTGATCGCGGTACATTTTATGGTTTATAATATTATATATAATATATCATATGCAGCAGACAGTGATTTCTATTTTATATGTATTTGGTTTTTATCTCAATTTAACAACATGATATTGGAACACATTATTGGCTCCGTGCAGTGGTTTATCGTTTCAAGTTAAATTTACTTCCGGTGTTGTGTGCGATGTATATGTTCATACATACATACACGTACGTTATAATATTATAATATGCATGCTGCTGTCACTGAACTCTGCTGTGGCCGCTGCAATATAATATGTATGTAAACCGCGATAGTGTGTTGATGGACTGCGGCGGTGGCGTGCTGTAAAGACACGTTATAATATTATATACAGAGTTATTAAACATGCGATTCGTCCGATTAAAAATGCATACATATTTTTAGTTTTTAGGTCTAGAGTAATTATTATGTAATGTGTGATACATCAAATGAATTAATGATATTTCAACTCTATAAAACGGTAGGTACCCATTAACAACGCATCTATTTAGTCGGAACTCAAATATTCATTCTATGCGCATACATATCGTGATTGTAATAATTGCAGACTCTGCTTAGCTCCTCTGTGATTGATGATACGCGATACGTGTACACGGTATGTCGGTAGGTATATATTAAACATATCATCAAAGGTTAAGTAGTCACATGGCTTAAGAATTAGTTAAGATCTGCAGGAAGTCGGGTGCAAAGCATCGGATAATGATTAATTTTGAATAACCCTGTATACAATGTGGTAGATATATACAGCCATACAGGCGATTGTTTCGACCACGGTTCCTGTGTATTTTGGAATTTTCTTTTTTTTTCTGAAAACTTCAAGTTTAGGTAACTACTGCATGTGCATAATATCTAAAGTTTTGCGTCGTCGTTTCCTTCAACGTCGTGCTCACAGTGCGGTCATCGGTGTAGGAACCACTGAAAATATTATATTATAATTTATAATTACTACCGATTCATAATGTCGACTATAATATTACGATCTTAAAATTAATGAATAGTTTTTATTGTTACAATGTCACCTGATTAAAATGTTTAAGGTTTAGACAAGAGGTGAGTGGCACAACGCCACAACATAAATTCCTAGGGGTTTCCCTTCATTTCCACTTTTACTTTTAAGAAGTTTTTCTTACTTTTTGGTCTCAATTCAAATTTTTTTACTACCCAACTGAAAGTTATTTGAACTTAAATTAAAAACATACTATATGTTGGTACATTGCCAATTATTGCCGTTTTATTACCGACATCGATGTAGTGGATATCTCGACAACCATAACTATTATAAGGGTTAAATATGAAAATCGAGGACAATGAGTGCACTCATAAATGAAAGAATTATTGTCAACAATTTTATATTTAAAAAAAAATTCAAATACTACAGTTAAAATAACGAGTAAATATAATATCTGTACATGTACATGTCATGTACCGATGCTGAAAGAACCGTCCTGTATAAAGTTACCAAATAGTTATTACAAGTACAATGTACCTATGATATAATAGCTGTATAGGTACAATGTACTTATGTGAATATATATATGTATACATAAGAATATTATGTGACATTTTGTAGTTCGTCGTTTATTTTATTATAACCAATATGTTCGTTGCATACCCTATGTCCTAGTGTCCTACATTGGCTACCTATATATTATTTAAGCAGATTATGAGTGAATAAATCTTATGACTTCGCTGCTTTAATCAAGAGTTAAATTTAGACCGCTTGAGTTTTAAAAAAGTAGTCAATTAGCTATAACATATTATACTATATAGGCATTCTGGTATTCATATAGGTAAATGTAGGAAGGTAATAATTATCCACGTATAAAAATTACAGCCTGCAGCTATATGTATAGGGTGGTATAAATTCTCTTGATTATATTTTGAGTTCAAATACTGAAAATTTCAAAAATATAGGTACCTATATAAGAATTAATATTCGACAAAATTATGCTTACATAGAAACTTATTACTACGAAATAGGTAGATAATATGATATATTTTTATGAGCAATTTAAATATTTTAATTTTTAATTTTTAAAAGTGATGTACAATCTGTATCAGTTGGCGCACTAAGAATACAGGCTAAGATTAGAAAAACATGAATATACAATTTTTATGAAAGAAGCCACCCAGTGATGATACTTCAAATATTTATGTTATTTTTGTTATAACAATTACTGCGTTGTTGTCAGTATGAGGTAGGTATACCTAATTGTTGAGTTATACATTTAACATTTTATAGTTGAAACACATGTGCACACCACGCAGAAATAATATATCCTAATAAATTAGGTATAGTTAACAAGTTCAAATCAGAATTTTCATTATAAATGCACAGACTCACGGATGAAAATAATAACGCAATTCAACGTGATGAGAAATTATAATCAATTTTTTTAAATCTAATCATAATATTATAATTATACCTGCTTACAATATAGTATTCATGTATATAATTTTATCATTTATATATTGTTCATAGATATGGTTTTCTGTGTAATATACAAAATAGAAGCATTAGTTGTTAAATTTGTGGCTTACTGATAAATTAAATGGTAAAAAAGAATATAGTTCAACAATCAACGCCCAATATTGGCGTTATTAACACTTATATGCGTCAACTAGTCAACAATATTATAATAAGTTGAATTATTGGTATAAAACATTTAGTTTTTGCTGAATAATATTATAATTTTCTGTTCTCACAATCAATTGAGATAAATGCAATATTTGTTAAAACTTTCGAATAAAATAACAAAACCTTCTTTATTGTGATGCATATAGGTTAAATATTAGTTACATAGGTATTAGTATAATAATATTTAATATACCACTCTATATAGTATACGATCACATCGATCATTTGTTATCTCTGCAGCAGTCCATCGTATGCACTTTAATATAATATTATAGACAGATTAATTTTCGTGTAATTAAAGTAGGTACTAATAGCATTCCAGCAGGCTTTAGGTCAACCTTAGTGTTAAATAATTGTGACCTATAATAATAATTACAAACCAAAATACGAAAATATTATCTGGATTCATTATTCTGTGGTAAAGGTGTTGAGTATTTCTAACCAAAAATCCATAAGCACAAAATAATAAATATACTATGTAGTAATGTAAGACAATATTGTATGTTATGGTTAAATATCTCTATCATTGATAAACTATAATAAGTTAAAAATTATTTTTATAAATAATATATTTTTATTATTTATAATACATTTTTAAATCAATATTTTTGTATGACTGTGCAGGCGCTGCAGTGTCATGACAGCTTAGCGAAAGTCTATACAAGATTATTTGAATTATAACTATTAATTGTTATGAAATATAAGCGAAGCCATATATATTACCATAATTAATATTCTTGTTACCAAAAAAATTCACTGAATTTAAAAATCAAATCAACAAACATTTGTAAAGACTACGTCTACAACCCTACGCATTTTTATTGAGCTCGTCCCTGGACGATTAAGTCAACTGACATTCGAAAAGGGTTTAAAAAAACGTTTGGAAATAGTTAGAAACAGAAAGTAGAAGTCACAGATTACGAACACGCGCTTGACTAAAATAATAAACGTTTGCGAATGTGAAATATTCACATTATATTATATAAATTTATATTAAATTAATGTTCACAGTAATAACAAAGTTCTAATAGGTATTATAGTTGTCTGACAGATAGTCACATTGTCACCCATTATATTATATAAAGTATATTTTAAATGAGTTAGACTTCTAGCTGGCTCTATGACAAACTGTACAACGAAAGTTATTATAATTGTTTTCCTCGTGTAGATCACTATATCAGTTTTCGATATTTAAATTTAAAATTTAACACAATTTATAATTAAAAAAATAAATTACTCAAAAATTTAAAACTTATAAAAAAAAGACTATATTATTTTTACTTATAAGTGGTGTATATTATATTATATAATATATATTATTATTTATTATATATATATACAACATTTGTGTTTTACAACTAGGTTATTCTAAATATCTATGAAATGTTAATAACAGCGCAAACTGCATGAATTATGGTTTTTATGTATGATACACTATTTTTTTTTATATTAACACCAGTATTAAGTAGGTAGGTACCTATTTTTGAAATAAAATTATAATATAAAATATAATGTATACATTAAAATGGTCAAAATTCACGATTATCGTTCAATACTAATTCATAATAATGTAGCTAGGTATTAAATAATAAAAGGTAAATAATAAGTAATAACTAATGAGTAGGTACCTAGGTACTTAATAAGTAGGTATCTATTATGAATCGGAGCTTCGTGGGCTAGTATCTATGGATGTTTTTATACGTGAAACTAAATTAATATTATGTTCCCCTATACCTATATTATTATTAATTAGTACCCAATTAATACAACATTAGTTTTTATTTATAAAAATATGTAGGACATTTTTCATAAATGTATCTTTTAGATTCTGAGTGGAACGATGAATGTATTGATTTTACAATGATGTGTGTTTTTATATTTTTTTATTTTTGTGTCTATGGACACGATAAGTAGTCGAAATAATGCTTCGATTATCAACTTCAGTATCTTGTTCGATTCGAAAGTGAATATCGTTGGTGCATTGAGGAGGTCAAAATTTAAAATTGACAGTAATTTTCAAAAGCGCCAAGAAAAACAATAGAAAAATTAAGGAAAAAC